GCTAAAATTTATTAAAATTATAGAAATACGAGAAAAATATTAATTTAAAAATAAAAAATACGACTCATATAATTTTTAATAAATTTAATTAATATTAAAAAGTTATCCTTAATAAAGTGTATTAGTAACACTTTATTTTCTTTTATAAAATTGCGTAGGTAGCATTATTTTGTCACTCTTCTAGAAGCTATGTAACAAGCATCTCAACCCAAAAATGAGAAGTGGACCACCATGATTCTTTTAAGGGGTATATCTTAATGATATCTAGTTATGTGGCGCCGCTTGATGCGCACTTTGTCGGGTGATTACATTCTCTTTTCACGTGCTCTTCTCTTTTATACGCTACATTGTTAAGCTTTCTTTCATTTATTCGGTGATTATTATAAGGGGTTTGGGGACACAAATTTTATTTAAGCCTGAGTTATTTATAAATTATTTTTCTAATACAAATATTTCCCTTTTAATTTGCATAATTAAAATCCGATGATTGAAAATTTTGCTTCTGGAAAATGCGAAATGGCAGAGCATGTGCTACTCAATCTCATGATTTCCTCAATTTGCGATTTTTTCAAATGAAGGTAATCATGTTTGAGGCACTAACAAAAAAAATATTAAATATGGAAATATCTTTTAATAAAAATATAAATTGTGTTTAATTGTTTAATGAGATGTTATTAAGTGATTAGTTAATTTGTGAGAGATTAGTTCTTTCGTTACACTATGCCCAATTCAATTGATTGCTCTTGAAAAAACATTTAGCCATACTGAATATTGATATTCAAAAATACTACAAAATTTCATCAAAATCATTTTATTTGCTTAGTGGGAATGTCTCTGCTGTCTGCTTAGTGGAAACCAGCAAATTTATGTTAAAAAGGGGAAGAGGAGACAGAGGTATGCAACCACTGCATATTACCATGAATCGAAGAAAAAATTAAAAAAAATCTTTATTTAACAAGCCATTATTAATTACTCAATTTTTTATATTTATTTTATTTTCTCTCTATTTTTTATTGTATTTTTATCTCATTTTCTTTCACTCATCACACACTCTTTCGATGGTATCAAGTGAGAATTTTCCAAACGATATAGGAATGTCAATTACGGTATTGTATTTGTTTGACACGTATTCCATCTGGGAAAAAAGTCACACACGTTGATTTTGATTTGAATAATTATTCACGGTTCAAACTCAACGTACGTATATACTATTTGAACCATAAATCTAAATGTGTGTATTCCTAGGCACACAACCGTACTTATAAAATTAAAACAAAAAAGTGACTAAATTTGATTCAGTCCCATTAATTTTATATTTATCAAACTTGATGAAGGGGATGAAAAGCATTCCACATTCAAAAAGCTTGAACTCCGAAATGATTCTGAATTTATCAAGTCAACGCAAGTTTTGTCAAAAGCTACTAGAAAAAAAACTTAACGTCATGTATGGTGCTAATTAATCTGATTGGGATCCAAGAAAACTAATTTTCATGGTCTAAGGCACAAGGATTGAAACGTGATTCAACCTTCACATTGGAAGCTTCTTTTATTGGATGGAAATGTCTTTTAATCACTTACATAAAAGTTCTTCCTATTGTTCACCAAAGAAGCAGAGACAGTGGTAATCGTGAGAGAGCTATAAATTATGCTTTTCATCCGAATAAAGAAAATGGTATGAATTCATTATCTTATTTGTTTATTGTAGCATTTTCTCTCTATCTTATAAATTCCTATTTTGAGAGTTGTTTATGGGAGAATTGATTTTTCTTTAAAAGGTAATAATTATTTTTTCATAACAAGTTATTATGTATTAATCTTTATACATATATATATATATATTTATTTTATTTATTAATAATATATATTCTACTTATTATTAAGAGATAAAAGAAAGAACTCGTGATGTCCACAGACAAGTTAAAACTTGTATATACACCTGTATTATATATTTACTTAATTAAAATGTGGTGTCTTTAAGCTCCTAAACTAATGTTTATTTCACTTATAAAACTGTCTTTTTCATTAGTAAAATATTTGTTTAACAAAAATGAATTATTAGTATAGACTTTAAAAATTTATACTAACATTGATAATATTAATATTTATCAATAAATTATTTAATTATTAATTTAATATATCATATTATCAGTATAAGTTTTTAAAATTTATTTCAATTATTTATTTTTCATTCTTTAAAATTTATATTAATGAAGACTACACACTATTGCCAAATTTTATTTGTTAATAAATGATTTTTTTTATAGTGTCAGCACTAAAGTTTGTACACAATAATAATTTGACTCGCTTGAAGCAAGACGCCAAGACCCTCTAATATTTGGTCTATAACGATAAGATTATTAAAAATTTTGAAGAAAAATTCATAAACCGTTATCTGTTTAAAATGCAGAGTATTTAACGGAGCAACTTTGGACTCGGCAATGTTAATTGTTAGAATCACAGACACAAACCAACGTTACTCTTGTTTTAAGGTATTTTAATAAAAAATTATCATAGCCGCCCAAGTGGATATGTCATCAGTTGTTGCTTTCAATAGGTTATATATGTATGGTCAGAAATCTACCTATTTTAAAAACAAGTCTTTAAAAGTTATATATAAATTCGATTTTAATGAAATAGATATTTAAATAACACAAATTAAATATTTATAAACGTATACTTTTATTTTTTATATTTTCAAATATATTATATATCAAATAATTTTTAAATTTATAAACATATCTACTTAATCTGAGTTCGAACTTATTGTAACTATTACGTCAATAAAATTTCATATCTAAAAATAATTATCAAATAAAGTAAATTATTCAAAATGTACTCTCAAAATAAATTAATTACTTAGACATGCATAATTACTATACATATAATATTCTTTATTTATATAATTCACTTATCTGGCATTCTCTCTCTCTTTTCACGTAACATTTTGTATATTTTTTTTGTTTCAGTGGTACAATCTCTCTATCGTGACCGTTGACATTTTTTATTGTTATCTTGGTTTTTCCGATAAATTACTGGATACATTATTAAATGATTTTTTAATTTTATCATGCCTCCTATGAAAGGGAAGTGCACGATATATATAATTTTTTAATCTTAAATAATTTAAAAATATATATCATGTTATATTAATATAATATCAAAATTTATAATTAATTTAATATATATATATATATATATTTGTTAATATAAAATATTTTTAAATAAAAAACAGAGAAAGTAAAATAATGAAATTAGTGTTACAATGAAGAAGATAAAAGATAATAAAATTAATATATTTTACTTGTGAAATAAGTCAATTTTTGTAAAACATAAAAATATTAGTAATTAATTTTTAAAAGCTAGACATTACTTTATATATATTTTAAAAATAAAAATATTTTTAAAAGTTACAAGTTTTATTTTATTTTATATTTATTAAATAATTTTATAAATATAGTAACTAAATTAATAAACTACAAATTCCTAATTAAGATACTAAATATAATTCTAATTTTTAAGTATAAATCTATTTTACAATAGAAAAAATTAACCATAGAATGTTATGTCAACGAAAAAAATTAATACCACATCAAAAGTTATATGTAGAAAATAAAATAAAATAATTTAATTTTATATTTAATAAAAAAATAACTGTAACATATAATATATATTTTAAATATTTATTTATTATAATTTATAAAATAATTTTAGAAAAAGTATTATAATTATAAGATTTAATTTATAAAATAAAACACATGTCATTAATTTTGTATTGTCTAGTTTCTTCCTTGAAGAGATTGCGAGATGAGGGAAATGACAAGATGGTCCATTATTGCAAAAAAGTATTGAATAATATTTATGGTTAAATGAAGTATTTCCAGTTTCAATGTTTCTAGAACAAAGTTAAGTGGTTTATATAATATAATATATAGAATACGGAAAATGCATGTATGCAAGTTTTGTTGAAAACACGATAAGTTGGACCTCCATCTGTGGGCCCAACTTTCTCATTCGCTCGCTTGTCAGAATCGCTATAGTGTTTGGGACCCACTTCCCATCACATCAATGTTAAATTCCAAGTACCCAAAACCCATTTCTATGCTTACAAAGAGGAAAAGCTAGAGAGTGAGGGGTTCCTAATTTCTGTAGAAGACGATGGATTTGAGATGTTCCTTGGTGTTGAACATGTTTAGAAAACTGAACGATGTCGTGTAACTCGTTTCATTTAGAAAAAAGAACAAAAATCTACTTGTTTCGATTATGTTGTCTTTGTCTCCATGTCTGTGGATCTTGGATCTGATAGAAATTTTCATGATGCGAGAATCACATGGGTTATAAGACATTGTAACTTTTCTTTTAATGAAAGACCATTGTAACTAATAACAAAGAAAATGAAAACAACAATAAATTAAACTGGCATATATAAAGTTTGTGAATACAGTTTCTTAAATCAACGATGATCACAAGAAAAGGAAAGCACCCGTGAATGAAGAGGTGAAACAGTAAAGTCAATATGGAAATATTGACCAAAAAATCAATTATTGGAATGCAAATTGCAGAAGAGAGTGAAATAAAAAGATATAAATTGAGGGGAAGGTCGGTTATTGTAATAATGTAAACAAAAGAAGGGGAATAAAGAAATGAAGGAGGGGATATTTTTATTTGAGTATAGATCGCGAATAGCTTCTAGAAGAAGTAAATTGATATGTGGCAAAAATATTAATGACAATAAAAAAAAATTCTTGAGTAGATTTTTTGTTTCCTACACACAAAGTTATGATGATTATGATTTCAATAACTAACTAAAAAGCAAGCAACAAGTAGCAAATGAGGTATCCATTTGGTGCCAATTGCATATGCATAGGATAGGCCGTTCCAGCTTTTCAATATTAATCCTTAGTTGTCGTTTTCAACAAGTCCCACTTCTCAATCAAACCCCCCTTACCTTCTAGAACACCTATTGATTGCCATTGCTTTGTCACTCAACTCAATTCAACCATGTCCATGTGCAACCCTCTATAAATCCCAAACCTTCAACCTTTCTCCCTTACAACAACATCATCTCCACAACCTAAACCTAAACCATATCCACTTCTCAAACTGCTCTTCTTCCTCTTCTCATATTTAGATCAAATATCTTTTATTCTCTCCCACTCTTTCTCAGACTTGTCCTACCAAGTTGCAAACTTGCATCTCAAAATCACCTCTTTTTACAATTTTGGCATATGGGTGTTCATTAATTCAGTGATAAACCGTTTTGATCATCGTTTTCACTTAGTTTTCTGCTATGATGGAGTTGATTTCGGGTCTACCGGAGGATGTGGCCCGAGACTGTTTAATTCGGGTTTCGTACCAGCAGCTTCCCACCGTGGCATCCGTGTGCAAGGGGTGGAAGACGGAAATTCAGATGCCGGAGTTCCACGGTCAACGGCGGAGCACGGGGCACGCACAGAAGCTCCTAGTGATGGTCCAGGCGCGGGTTGACCCGGAAAAATCCGAATCGGGTTCCACGAAGCGCCTAACTAACCCGGCTTATCGGCTCAGTGTATTGGAACCGGTTACGGGTAACTGGAGCGAGTTGCCACCACTACCCGAATTCAGTTCCGGGTTACCCATGTTTTGCCAGGTAGTGGGTGTCGGGTACGATCTGGTGGTTATGGGCGGGTTAGACCCGAATTCGTGGAAATCATCGAATTCTGTGTTTGTTTATAATTTCTTGTCGGCGAAGTGGCGCCGCGGGTCTGATATGCCTGGTGGGCCCCGTACGTTTTTCGCGTGCGCGTCGGACTCCGACCGGACGGTGTTCGTCGCCGGGGGACATGACGACGAGAAGAACGCGCTGCGGTCGGCGTTGGCTTATGACGTGGCGGTGGACCGGTGGATTTCGCTGCCCGACATGGCGGCGGAGCGCGACGAGTGCAAGGCGGTGTTCCGCCGCGGGAGGTTGGTCGTCGTCGGCGGTTACCGGACGGACATGCAGGGAAGGTTCGAGAGGAGCGCGGAGGCGTTCGATGTTGCCACGTGGAATTGGGGCCAAGTCGAAGAGGGCTTCTTGGATTCGGCCACGTGTCCGAGGACATTGGTGGACGGTGGCGATGGAAAAGAGACAGTATATATGTGCATCGGCGGTGACTTGATGGCCATGCGGGGGGACACGTGGCAGAAGATAGCGGCGGTTCCGGGGGAGATACGCAACGTGGCGTACGTTGGATCATTTGATGGGACTCTGTTGTTGATTGGATCAAGCGGCTACGGTGAAGTGCACATGGGTGTTATGTTTAATGTGAAGAGTTGCAATTGGAGCAAACTGGAAAGCCCAGGGGGGTTTAGGGGCCATGTCCAAACCGGTTGCGTTTTGGAGATTTAGACTAAAAATACGAAAAATGGAAATTGACTTTTTGATTTTTCCACGTGAAGATGATACAATATAGCTATATAGTTATTTTGTTCTGTTAATTAACGTAATCTTTTTTGCATTAATATTATGCATCCTTGCATTAATGCATGCATACTCTATTATCATAAAAATTTGTTTCTACCATAACAAGTTCTGAAAAACAAAACCATAAATATTTATGATTTTAAATATTTTAGGATTCAATATCATCAGTGTAACCAGAGTTTTTTTTTTTATGTATTTACAAATTTGGAAATTCTGTATTTGGAGTAATGCCCAAGCCTTCACGCCTACGCAATGGCACGTCTCTTCCCCTTTTTTTCTTTTCGTTAATGTTGTTTGGTTGTTATTACGGTCCCCACAATTCCCTTCTTTGCCCAATTGACGCCTGGCCCAAACAAGTAAACCACACAACTTTCAAGTATTTATGTTTGTTACAATTTTCAAACTACAGCAACTTCAATTTTATAAATCATCTATTTATGCTTCACATTATTGTATTCATCTACCGTAAACTGCGAATCTTTTTGAAAATTAATAGCACTGTTAACTTTTTATATATGAAAATTCAAGTATATGTTTATGTTAATTCCTGAAATTGTTTTACTTCTAGTCTTTCATCTTGTAAAGTGTGATTTATTTCGCTTTTAATGTAAAATAACAGTAATAAAATAAAACAAATGACCTTTTGTAGAATTAAGGAATGAGGAGATTGAGACGTGTGATTTTAGAGACTAGGACGTGTCTACTTGAATTTTATATGGTCACACTTATTTTCCATGATATAAGTTTATGAGGATACTTTTGACTTAATTTCACCATGTGTCAAAATCCGGCACTGAACATAGGGATGAAAGGCGTAAAGTTATAGAAAAGCCAATGTGAACTATGCATTGGGTTTTGAGTCCCTGGTGTTAAATGGAATGGAATTTCTCTTTCATTTTCTTCCTTGCCTTTTCTCGAAATACATTAACTCTGTTTTATTTGCCTTTACCCCATAACACAATCAATATTGAGCTGTGAGCCTATAATGCTGTGCATAATCTGTGTTAAAAAAGTATGTCACTTAGTCCAATGTTCAATTAATTGCTTTATATTTCAAGTTTTAACAACACAGACACATATATAATGCTTGTACCTTCCCAAATGGAGCTAAGACAATCAAGAGGGGGTTGACAATTGAAGCATAAAATGGGCCTTTGCGCACGCACCAACTAAAGGAAATGAGAACCCAACTTACTCCACAAGACCCTCCTTAACTAAATTTTGGATTTTGACCCAATTTTAGGTGCTGACAACTTTTATGGGCCTTGTCAAGATTTTTCGGGTCCTTTTAATCTGAGGAAATTACTTATTATACCCTATTTTTTCCATTTTATAAAATATCCTTACTTTTAACTTTTGTTCATCTTGTTCTTGGTCTTCATCTTGTGCTCTCGCTCTTGGGCTTGGTTTTGTTTTGCTTTCATTCTTGTTCTTGTTCTTGTTTTTTGGTTCTTAGTCTTGCTTTCTTATTCTTACTCTCGTTACAGTGGGTCTTGTTCTTATTCTTGATCTTGATCTTTGTTCTTGTTTTTCTCTTCTCTACTTTCGTCTGCTTATTAATTATTCGTCTCTATATTTACTATTTGTACTCTATGACGACTCTTTCTGCAATATATCATGCACCGACTCCAATATTCTGTCAATATATTTGTCAGTATCATTCAAGAAACTATGCACATACATAAAATCTTAGAGATCGTCAACTATCAACTACTTTCACTTAAATCATAGAATTAAGCTGGCCATAACTGTCCAGGGGTTCTTCTTTTACGTCTTTGGTGTCTGATATGAGGGTGTTACGGAATTCGTTTTCCAGGAGTGCCATGGATTGGGTAGGGAAAGATAAAAAATGTTATTTTAATACCTCAAAATAATTTGAATTCAGATTAGAGAACGATGGTTTCCAGTATCAAAGGGGAGCAATTTACTTTCGCATTTAATTAATAATTCACTTTTTATTTCGTTTTTGGCATGTTCTTTCTCTTTTGTTAGGGTCAGAATTTGCAGAAAAAAATAAAATAAAAATTCCTTCATGTCGATTTTATTAATAACATCTGAATAACAATTTCAGTATAAAAGAATGAGGGTATTACAAGTGCCAAGCAGTTATTTACTTCTCATGCAACCTACAAGAATCTCTACAAATTTCTTATACATATGATGCTTCAAGTACATCCTCTGCACCTTTTTTCTTCCTTGCATCCCCATTTGCTCTCTTGCCAACCGGTTTTCAAGTAAAAACCGAAGATTCTGTGCAAGAACATGATTCCCTGGGCGTCCAATAGGATGAAGAAGACCTGTCACATTATGCTCAACAATCTCTTGCGTTCCTCCAGCATCTGTTCCAAGCACCTACTCCAATATGAACTGTCAATATTTATTTGTACCGTTCAAGAAACTATACACACACAAAATCTTAGAGATTGTCATGGATCAACTACTTTCACCGAATCATAGAATTAAGCAAACCTAAGATAATCTACCCTACACATGATATATTTCCATTATATAATTAATAATTTGATCCAATTTTGTATTATTTTCCATGGTGGGAGGATCTAACGAAAGTTCACTGAAATTTTGCAACCTTCACCTTAAAGTGATAACAGAGTTTGACTTTAAATAAGAGTAAATTCAGAAAATTGTAATTGATTTTTTAAAGATTAATATATTAACTAGTTGTAATAACTTTTCGTTAGCCATGTAATTTAGTTGAAGGGTCTTATAAATAGAAAGTGAGAGAGTAATTTTACATCAATAACACAGCAGCAGTCTTAAGAACAATTAATTTTACATTTCCAAGTAACAATATTTCAAATGAAGAAACTACCAACACACGTCATTACAAGATATATCCATGGAAATCGAGTTGGCTATCATACCGGAAGACCAAATGCCATTGCTTCTATAGTCACCCGTCCAAAAGTTTCTCCCAATCCCTGTTCACCATTTTGCATATTAGCAATAGATTTGCACTTCAATAAAGTCAATAATACTTGTACAATAACAACAATGCCTTATTAGTATGTGGGAGCTAAGCTGATAGATTCAAACTGACATTTTCATTCACAAGTCAATCATTTCTATTACATGATAAATAATTTGAAAACAGTTTACCTGAGAGTTTATGACATAAACATCTGCAGCAGAGTAAAGTGAGGCAACATGCGTTGTGGATGGTGTCCACAAAACTGACTGAGACAAGTTTGAATGTTGTGACAAGAAACTTAGAAGACGTTTAACATAATCCACCTTGTTACTCTTAGATCCCACAGAACCAATGAGAACTTTGAGAGATTGTTTCATTGTTCCATTGTCGTGTGACAACACTTTCCTCCTTCTGTGAACATAAAAGCACACATCAATAGTGCAATGAATAAAGTTGCAACATTATACTACCATATACTTTATTATTAGATTCATCATTCATGCAACCTTTTTGTAGAATTGATGGAGACATTGTTCAAAGCTACACTGCTATCCTTCAACAATGGCAACAATTCTCTAACTCGATGTCTTCTAGCCATGACAGATAGGTATTCTCCATCATCTGATGATTCATTGATTTTCTTATCATCTTGCAATGGTCTATGTTCTACAATGGAACTTGCTGATTCAAGAAGCAGTAGTTGACCCTTCCCACGGTTGATGCTACTGAGAGATATCACAAGCAGATCATTATCTGTTAAGCCGATTTCTCTTCTTACTGAATCTCGCATCAACATCCTCTTCTCATCCATGTTCTTAGCAATAAAAGATGTAATATTAAGTGTAGAAGGAATTCCAGCTACTAAAGCTAGTTCATCATTAACAGACAATGGAACAAGTGCAGGTTGAGATTTTAATTTTATGCTTTCTTCTTCACACCATTTTTGCCATTGCTTAGATTGAGATTCGGAAAGAAAAGCCAACATCTTCACTTTCTGCAAGACATCCTTTGAACGATTAAAGTACTCTCGTCGGTTTTCCATAATCCACCAAGCAACATGATTTGCACCAGCGGGAAAATGTTCAATGTATTGTTCTGGAAGCATATAAGACTATCATATTTTAGTAAGACACTTGTAGAAGTGTGGAGTTACAAACTCATGGTTTCCCACTTTTTCATATTGTTTATAACCCACCACATGATATATATCAAGGTTCTCATCTTGATAATGGTACAAAATTTGAGAATAAGCTCTATTCTATGGGTAATCTTAACCGCTTCTTCAATCAATTCTCAATGTCAGGAATGATTAAAAGGCTAGAAGTTTATGTTTATATGAAAGAGGCAAGGCATGGAGAAATTCCTGTGTCAGTGTCATTTAGAAAGATGATGAAATTAAACACGTTTCATAACATGGTAATAAGTGTAAGTCCTATGCCAATAATTTTAGAATTAGTATGAGGATATGAAATTAAGCCTCTGACACTTTTGTATCATAAGTTTTTAACCTTTCTGTTGAACCTATATTTTGAAGTTGTAAAAACTACCAAGCATTATTCTGTTACACAAATAGCTAGAAATTCATGTCAATTATTCATTGACATGTGCTTCGTACTTTGAGTTTAAAAATTATTTACCATCAAACAAATCAGCTTTCCAACACTATGCAAGGAAAAACTTAATTAATCTGTTCATACCAATCCATGAAGCACAGACAGCTGATCCAGCAATGACAAGATCTGCCTTAATTGCAGTTCTGAAGCTGAGATCTGCTTTGTCTTCAAGCACCTTGATTCGTCTCCTAACAAGCTCTTGCATCAAACCACCCTTCTTGCTAAGCACAACAGCTGAAACAGAAGCTCCACAACTCAAGAGTTCGGTTGCCAACTCCAGCATTGAAAGTGGAGCTCCAGTCATAGAAAGCTCATGAAATATCAACACAAACCTCTTGGACCAAACAAGGTGTGAAAAGTCCTCCTTCTTGTTACATGTTTCAAAACGCTTCTCAGGTCTCCGTTGAAGAATTCTATCCTCTATTGAACCAAATGGACCAACAAGGAATCCGTAGGTACTATTCCTTTGAGGAATTTCTGGCTCCTGTTCCTCTATACCACTGCTCTCAACTTTTTGCTTAAGCTTCTTCTTACCGCGTGTCTTACCTCTCAAAGCATGCATTGATCGCCTCCTCCTTTTCTTTGAGTTAGTTTTAAGTTTTGATGGAACATCATTTTCTTTCTTGGCCAAAGCTACATCCATTGTGTTACCAATCACCACCTTGTTCTCAACTTTTTCAATATTAACATATAAGGAATTGTTTTTGGCAATCAAATCATGATGATGATTGTGTTCACTGTCTGAGATTGTATCAATTGGCCTGCTTCCAAAGCCGGATAATTCCTCATTCTTATTATCATCATGTGCCCACCTGGACTGAACAGAAAATGCAAGATAAGCCCAAAGGGTAATCAGAAACAACCACCATAGTAACCGGTTTCTCCCAAAGCACTGTGTGCCACCCCTGCTTTCTCTTCTTGGTGTTAAACTAGAATGTGGTCGCCGAAATGAAGGAGAGTGTTGTGGAGTTGATCTTCCAGATATCGTATATTTCAAACTGCTACCTGATTTTGATGAGCACTGCTTATTTAAATTTGCCTGAATTTCTCCTCTGTTGTTGCAATCCTCCATTATTTTCTTAACTATATCATTGTAGAAGCTTGAAGCCCCACTTGAAAAATCATTTCCTTCTTGGGATAATTGAGTTCAACATTGCTGCTGCTCTCTCTATGTTTCCAACCATACGTAGAAAATTTTAGCTTTATCAAGAAAGAAGAATTAAAAGGAAAAAAAATTGTAAGGAAATGCTCTGTTTTAGTTATTGGTGCATTTTTCTTAGCAAACGAAAAGAGATGAGTTAATACATGATTTTCTTCATGGCGAGGATCAGAGCATGCATTACATGGATCCCTTTTAACGCTTTCGAGATGTGTTGCTACAACAAGGATCTGTGCTTTCAGGGTCAACGATCATTCTTGAATTGGGTCCTTGAACTGCAAGAGAGTTTAACAACAAAGAAGTGGAAGAAGAAAGACAGAGGAGGCCAGAGTGGTCTAACAGAAAATGGCTGCATGTGCATCGCACGTGTTAGGTTGGTCAACGAAAATAAACTCAATTTTCTTTTATAGACCAAAGCATAAATTATTGAAATAATTATTAGAGGGGGGCTCGCAAGTCGCAACTACTTTCATCTACAAGCTTGGATGTCACGTCAGAGTATTGGTAAATGATAACGAAAGATTCTTTCAATTTCTATTATTAATTAGCTTTATTATTTTTTGGATCAACATTTTCATTATAATTAGGTAATTGATACTATAGTTTTAAAACAACAACTAAATGTTCATATTTAAAAAAAATTGTTACTTTTTATCAATTTTATTAAAAATATTGCAGTTATTGCTTGACAGACGAACTGAATCAAACATGCACTTGACTCGAATTATTGGTTAAACTGGTGATGCAGTGACTGATTCACGCGCCATGATTTGAATTATAGTTGAAGGAATTTTCCTTATCGTATCCGTCACATGTAGCATTATTTGCTTTCATCATATATTCATATTTCTCTTCCCAGGAATGCTTTTACCACTAAATCCTTGTCACCAATTGCAGAAGAAATTATGTCCTTTCTTTGATTTAACGTTACCAAAACAATGATTTCATTAAAAGCCTAGAACAGATCTAACACAAAAAAAAATTTCATATTAATGTTTCTTTCACTATGGTAGCAGGTTCAGGTCACTTAGGAATGGATTAGCTAAAGACCAAAACAACAACTCTTAAAAGTTCACTACTGGATAGAAACACGTGACATTATAACATTGGACGAACATAAAGATGATGCTTTTACTCTTCCAAATTTTGGGTACCATAAATTCATCGTTAATAAATCCCCCTGTTAATGCACGAAAACAGTGGATAGTATGATGGCAAAAAATAGTCTTTTCAGGTCACAATAGCTGAAACAATTTGAAAAAAAGAAGAACTTTTCAGTTTAAAATAATTGAATTTGAAAGAAAAGAAAAACGATGTATTAAAGTTGTCTCACAATACATAATATATCCACAGGGTGAGAACAGATAACTAACAAAACTACTTACATGAGAAACTTAAAAACGCCACGATACAATCAGCTGCAGCACAACGATTAGGGCCCTCTCCTTCTCGCAACACTCTTAGGCATGTGATTGTGATCTCTTCCTCAAGTGTTGGGAAACATGAATTCCTTCGAAAAAATCCAAAACAGCAACCTGCAGGTCCAGTTTAGAATACTTAAGGTAGTTCACTACATGTGTTCCATTCTGTACGCTGCTCAAGTTCCGCCTAAGAAATGCATTATATGCTGGGAGCAGCTTCTCTAATATAGATTTTCTAATCTCCTCCCTTAATTGTGAATCCGGTATCAACCTAGCAGCTTGGGTCCTATGAACCTTTTCAAACATGGCGTTGAAAGCCTTCATTTTTTGTTTCATAGGACTGTTAAAGATCACATAAAGAAACCCATGTTTCGCTGTACCATCCAATCCCTCGTCTTTTAAACAATCCAATACCCTCCCCCAAGTTTCTCCCTGGTAGCTAGTGGTAGCCCGCTGGAATTTCATGGTTAGCTTCTTCAAATAATCATCTCCAATCATGTGCATTAATTCAGAACAGCTTTTTACCACATTAAGAATGAAGTGGAGATTGTTCATCATGAACAGGTGAGACAAAGATGAGTCCTTATATTGCTTTGACTCACCATTCAACTTAATTTGCAATTTCTCAATAATCCAAATTAGGTGAATAGCTAACGGGGTTTTCCCTTCCTCCTCTGTGATGTCAGCTAAATCCATTGATGGCTTTAACACTATAAGCTCATTCAAAGTTTCCTCGTAAACACAGATAAGTTTTAAATAATTCATGACATATAGTGTCAAGGGGTGAATTGCTCCACCAGGGACAACAACCTTAGAGGTGTCCCCAGCCACAGCTTTTTCAAACTTAGACAAAGTCCCATTTACACCCTCAGCCAACCGAGAGAGAACCTCAACAGCCTTAACGCGTAAGCACTCACAGGATTTAAAGTCAAAGACATCATCAAAATCAGGAATCATAGCTGCAAAAGCTTCATACAGTTCTAGAATCTTGAACATCTCGTCAGGTAATGACCTGGCGGTTATGCAAATAGCGTCCGCAAAGTTGAGAAACTGAATAGCAGGTTCCTTCACAGTTTCCATGAAGCAAGCATGATCAATATCATCCCCAACTCCATCAAAGATTTCCTCACAAAACCTCTTCTCTCCGGCAAACATGGTTCTAACACAAACCTTTGAAGCCTCTATCCATAAGTGGATCTTGGCCGCAAGCGGAAGCTGAACATCATTGATGCCAAGCCACTTGTAATATGCAAAAATACCAGATTTCCTAACACTGGCATAAACATGTATGCAGTGGTCCAAGTACCCAGATGATATCATCCTTTCGGCGATGCAACGCAAGTCGTTTGTAGCATCGTAAGGTATCTCGCGGAACCTGCTAGGGAGAAGAAGCATGTCATGATCATCAACATGTCGTCTTGCCGAAGGTGAAGCGTTGAAGCGGAGATGACCGAAGCAAGCACAACCCTGTTGGGGTTCTTCTTCTTTTATTTCTTCTTTGGTGTTGAGATGGTGAAGGTAGGAAGTGGGGTTGGTGTGGGAGATTAGAATGTTACGGAATTCGTCTTCTAAGCGTGCCATGGCGATCGGAATTGCACTCTCGTCGTTTGAGAGCTGGATTTCGTCGACGGCTTGGAGGTAGCACTCCGCCTCTTGCTGGTCGCCGGAAAAGATCATTTTCCGCCGGAATTCATCGGAGTCCCACCGGAAAATGATGTCCAATGCTAAGTTCTCCATCAATGGATTGGTAAACGATGATAGAACGAGAGACCCCAGAAACGATTTGACTTTGGTTTTGGGTGTCGAAGAAGACAAAAAACAAAGTCGTTCTAACCAGTCGAGAAGTCAAAGAAAGTTTTCTTTTCTTATGTTTTAAAATTTATAAAAGAAATTATGGACATTTGGATCAGTATACAGTGAATTAACAACTAAGTAATGTATGAGTAAGATCATACTATAACAGAAAATTTAATATAAAAATATAATAAACTGTTGTAATTTATTACTGGAACATTGTAATACTAGTCTTGCATGAAATGTGATTTACACATTTTTTTCTTTACCTCTTTTTTAGCTACAAATATTATTATTAATGTGCAAAAACATAAGGTGTAATTTTACAGTCTACGTTGACTTAGCAACTTCAGCCGATAATCATTTTGCACTTTTTTTTTTCTATTTACATATTATTAATGCGTAAATACATCGTTTAATCGTTCTTATTTTTTTAAAAAATTAACGTCATTTCTTTTCAAAATTATTATTTACATTTTTTATTAATATTACATGATTTAAATAATTACTTTAATAATAAAATATTTAAAATTAAAATAATGATAAATTTTTTTTCAAAGAACTATTTTGATAATATAAAGCTTTAGAGAATTAATATGATAATATAAATAATTTTATACGATTGCATTGAAAGTTTTCTATATTTATTAATTATGAGATTTATAAATATATATATTATAAAATAATGATTTTTAATTACATAATAATTCATAATTAAATAATAACATACAAATTATTTACACTATCAATATATTTTATTTAAATTTAAAACACAATATTAAAGTTTAACCTTGAAAGTGATTTTTATTTCCTATCCAGAAAATAAAATGGAGACTGAAAATGATTTGTGCTGTTATGAAGTAACATTAAATCTATGGGGTGGACAAACTCTTCCGATTTCAAGCTAATACATAGAGGGTAAGTACTTACTTTTCATAAACTATGCCAATCTTCACAATATTAAAATCTCATTCCTCAGATCCTGCACGGCAAATCTTGAAACTGCAAAGAAGAAGAAATAGCAAAATGTGTCATTGTTTCTAAACTTGAAGAATAACTGTTGCACACCTCATGTTTCAGTTGAAAATAAACAGAGGAAGCAGAGTATTTTATGTTTCAATTGATATAATATAAATCCTTAACCCAATCATTGTGTTCTCTCTTCCTCAATTGCTGGGAAACACCTTCGAACAAATCAAAAACAGCGCCATGAAGGTCCAAATCAGAGTACTTGATGTAGTTCTGCAAGTGGCTGTGATGCCACCAAACAAAACACCTATATGCTGAGATAAGATTGCCTATTGTGGATATTCTAATGTCCTACCTGAGTTGAGAATCCGGTATTAACCAAACGGATTGAGTCTTATGAACCTTATCAAACATAGCATTGAAGGCCTTAATTTTTTTTTTTTTTTCCAAAGCACTCTCTGAGATCTTGCGACACATTCCCTCATTTGTTAGACAACTTAACACCCTCCCCCAAGTTGCTCTCTGGTAATTAGTGGCAGCTTGACGGACTTTCCAAGTCATCTTCCATCATCTCCAATCATATCCTTCAATTCAGAACACCCTTTCACCGTCTTATGAATATAGTGTACATTGTTCATTATGAATAGTTGGGTCAAAGACGAGTCCTTATATTGGGTGGATTTACCATCCAACTTAAATTCCAATGTCACAATAATCCAAATTAAGGGAATAGCCAATGGGCTTTTCCCTTCCTCCTCTGTGATGTCAGCTAAATCCATATTGCATGGCTTAGACACTATAATATCATTCAAAGTTTGCATGTAATCACAGATAAAATTCAAATAATACATGACGTAGGTGGTCAAGGGGTAAATTGATCCACTTGGAGGGACAACAACCTCAGACGTGTCACGAAGCACGGAACTCTCAAACTCTGACAAACTCCTTCTTACAGCCTCAGCCAACCGAGAGAGAACCTCAGCAGCCACAACACGTATTGACTCAGATGATTGAAAGTCAAAGACCTCATCAAAATCAGGCATCAAACCTGCCAAAGCATTATACAGGTCAAGAATCTTGAATAGCATGTCTGAAGTGGGGTTTATGCAAGTAGCGTCAGCAAAATTTAGAAACTGAATCGAAGGTTCCTTCACAGCTTCCATGAAGCAAGCATGATCAATATCAGGACCAACTCCATCAAAGATTTCCTGGCAAAGCTTCTGCTCGCAACCAAAAAAAGGTCCTAACACAGAACGTGGAAGCGTTTATCCAGCGCTGGGTCTTGGCCTTGACCGAAAGCTGAACATCATCGATGCCAAACTTCTGAAATTAGCAAAAATAGTAGATTTTCTAACGCTGGCATAAACATGGATGCAGTGGCACAAGTACCCAGATGATATCATCCTTTCCGCGATGCATCGCAGGTCGTTTATAGCACCGGTGCTAAAAGGTATCACAACCATCTCGCCCAAGATGCCAGAGTGAAGAAGCTTATCATCTTCATCAGCTGAAGCATCATGTCGTTTTGCTGAAGCGTTTAAGCGGAGATGACGGAAGCAACCATAACTGTTTTGAGGTTCTTTTTCTTCTTCTTTTGGTGTTGAGATGGTGAAGGGAGGAAGTGGGGTTGGTTTGGGAGATTAGGATGTTGCGAAATTCCTCTTCCAAGCGTGCCATGGCGATCGGGATGGCGCTCTGGTCGCCGGAGGGTTGGATTTCGTCGACGGCTTGGAGGTAGAGCTCTGCCTCTTTCCGGTCGCCGTCAAAGATCATCTTCTGCCGGAATTCCTCGGAGTCCCACCGGAAAATGATGTCCAATGCTAATTTTTCCATCAATGGATTGGGTAGACGAAGATACCGCAAGAAGAAAGGGATTGACTTTCGTGTTAGGTGTAGAAGAAAGAAAGATATTGACTTTGGTCGAAGTAACACAGGAAGTAATGGAATTCGCAAAAGTATAGTTTTTCCTTATTTATTTATTTTTTCATTTTGCACGTTCTTCGCTATACTCATCTAATTCTGCGTATTTCTTTGTATCTTACCCCCTTTATTTTTTAGGCTTTTGTTTTATATTAATATTGTAGTCATCTTATAATTTTTTAAGACATTTTTTAATTATAAAGAAATTTAATTTATCTGTATTTTTTAGAATATTTGTTGAAAATTTATTTAAATTACACGTCAGTATGACGTTACTTTTTTTAAGATAAAATTGTATCTACGAACTTGCTTAATCTTTGCATACAAGGAGCATAAGTTTCGATTTGATTAAGAATGCATTTTTTGGAAATATATGTATCTTGTCAGTGAACTTAGCTTAATATTAACATACAAGCAGCTATCCATACTAGCATAAAATTTTTTGTTCTTTAGATGCTTTCATCCTTTTGTTAATACTTCAAATTCAATAAATAAAATTAGGACCATACAAGCAGCTAAAAGTCTGGTATATAAATATAGATGACGATTTCGAAACAATATCCATTAGCTCACATTTCATCAAGGTAAATGCTATGGTTCCCAGGAGTTTGTGAGGCATTTCTTCATTTTGAAACCCAAATAAACACAAAGCACCTACAACCAAAATCATATATGCATTGAAAGTTTCATGGTCCTCACTCATAACGCATTTGAGTATGTGCCTCATTAAATTGCATAGGATGCTCAAATTGCATGGTTGAGATCTCCTCCTCTCAGTGCTGGGAAACAGGGATTCCTTCAAAAAGATCCAAAACAGCAGCCTGTAGGTCCTGAACAAAATACTTAAAGTAGTTCCCTAAGAGGTCACCGAACACTTGAAAACCAACAAATATCCTATAGGCTGGGATCAGCTTCTGTAATATAGAGTTTTTAAGGTCCTCCCTAAGTTGCGAATCCGGTATTGACCAAACAGCTTGAGTCTTATGAACCTTTTTAAACATAGCATTGAAGCGCTTAATTCTTTTTCTCACTGCACTCTTTGAGAAGCCCCTGCCTTTTTTCGCATACAATCCCTCATATTTTAAACAATCCAATACCCTCCCCCAAGTTGCTCTCTCGTACCTAGTGGCTGCTTTCTGGACTTCCCTGATTAGCTTCCTCAAATAATTATCTCCAATCATCTCCCTCAAATCAGAACACCGTTTCACCCCATTAACAATGCAGTGGACATTGTTCATCATGAACAGGTGGGACAATGATGAATCCTTATATTGCTTTGAATTAACATCCAAATTAAATTGCAAAATCTCAATAATCCAAATTAAGTGAATTGCCAAAGGGGTTTTTCCTTCTTCCTCCTCTGTGATGAAAGCAAAATTCATCAAATCTGGGGAGAACGATGGCTTAGAAACTATAAGTTTATTCAAAGATTGCTTGTAATCAGAGATAAATTTTAAGTAATTCATGACATAGGTGGTGATGGGGTGAATTGCTCCACCAGGGACAACAACCTTAGACGTGTCCTGAAACACAGTTATTTCAAATAGAGACAAAGTGTTTCTTACAGCACAAACCAATCGAGGCAGAACCTCAGCAGTCATAACACGTATGGACTCGCAGGATTTGAAGTCAAAAACAATATCAAAATCAGCTAAAGTTTCATACAGGTCTAGAATCATGAACAGCATGTGAGGGGATGAGGGGGAGCTTATGCAAGTAGCATCAGCATAGTTGAGAAGCTGAATGGCAGGTTCCTTCACAGTTTCCATGAAGCAAGCATGATCAATTTCAGGACCAACCCCATCAAAGATATCCTCACACAGGCTCTTCTCTGTAGAAAACAGGGTCCTAACGCAAACCGTAGAAGCCTCTGTCCAACGCTGGATCTTGGCCTCAAGCGGAAGCTGAACATCACCGATGCCCAACCTCTGCAAAGTGGCAACAAAAACAGATTTCCTAACGCTAGCATAAACATGGACGCAGTTGCCCAAATACCCAGATGATATCATCCTTTCCGCGATGCAACGCAGGTCGTTAATAGCATCGTAAGGTATGTCACCAAAGCGAAGAAGCTTATCATCATCATCGTGCCGTTTTTCTGAAGCGTCAGAGCGGAGAAAACGGAAGCAACCGCAACTGTTTTGAATTTCTTTTTCTTCGGTGTTGAGATGGTGAAGGAAGGAAGTAGGGATGGTGTGTGAGATGAGGATGTTGTGAAATTCGTTTTCCAAGCGTGCCATGGCGATGGGGATTGCGCTTTGGTCATCAAAGCTCTGGATTTCGTCAACGGCTTGGAGGTAGTGCTCTGCCTCTTGCCGGTGACTACCAAAGATCATCTTCTGGCGGGCTTCCTCCGAGTCCCATTGGAGAATGATGTCCAATGCTAAGTTCTCCATCAACGAAGACCCAAGAAAATTATTGACTTGACTTTGGTTTTAGGTGTCACGAAGAAACGTCCAAGGCTTTGGTTACAGAATGGACGAAACAGATAAAAGAAACAGAGAACAATAAAAGGAGAGTAAAAAGTCAGAGTAAAAAAATGTTTTATTCGGAAAGGTAAAAATATATTAAAAAATATAAAAAATTCCATAAACAAGTAAAAAAGAAGAACAATAAATAAATTATTTTAAAAATAATAAAAATTATTATGTCTAATAAAAATTCAGTGAACAAACTTCTAAATTTATAACAGATAAAAACAAATCCTTATAAATTAATGTTAACTTTTATTAAGTTAAATTAGAATAATAGTTTATTAAAAAATATTAACAGTAAAAAACAATATGAATATAACACTCATTCATGTAATTTTTTATTATTATCTAATAAAAGTTGTTCATTTAACATTTAAAAAATTATTATAACAAGCATATTACTTAGTAATATATGCAGTACTTATAATCCTGAATGATGAAATACCATAAGCAGCATATCTTTTTTACTGAACATTGGAGAGAAAATGACACATATAAAGGTAATGTTTATGTATCAACCCTTAAGGGCGAGTTTGGAATCAAGTTGAAAGAGAGATCTACTAAAATATTATTTTTATACGTATTATTAGAAATCAAAATATTTAGAAGCTAAGTGAAGAGTTGAAAATGGAATAATTTCTGCAGTTGCGGTGTTAAAACATTGCAATTAATCCATGCAATAAATAAATGGTATTAAATTAGAAGCAACTAACCATTGGAATGTTAACATGAAAATCTATACATCAATTGTATCATTGAATTAAAGGATATAATTATAATTACAAAAAGTTCTTAATTTTAAATATATTTTGATTCAAGAAAGATTCTTGGAATAACTTGAATCAAGTAGAACAGAATTCTATCTGATTTATAAAAAAATAGCACTAAATTAGTCGAGATAAAGTACAATTTCAGCCTAAAAGATAAAATTAAAAATGCAAGTCATATTTAAATTACTCAAATTTATAAACCAATTAGTATTGTTCACCCTTAGAGTGGACTCGCTATTAAAATCCTAATATCTTATGAGAAGTCGTCACCCTAAACCAAAGTCGATCCTTTCTTACTTTAATCCATTGATGGAGAACATAGCATTGGACATTATTCACCGATGGAACTCCGAGGAAGTTCGGCAGAAGATGATCTTCGCCGGCGATCGGCCAGAGGCGGAGGGCTACCTCCAAGCCGTCGACGTAATTCAGCGCTCATACGACGAGGCCGCCATCGCCATCGCCATGTCACGCTTGCAAAACGAATTCCGTAACTTTCTCATCTTCCACACCAACCCCTCTTCTTCCCCTCACCATCCCAGCACCACCGAAGAAGAAACGAAACACCGAAACGGTTTTGGTTGCTTCTTAAATCTCCGCTTCAACGCTTCAACTTCAGCAAAACGACAGGATGCTGTTAATGATCGTAAGCTTCTTCGCTTTGTCGAGATAACTTACGATGCTATCTACGACCTGCGTTGCATCGCGGAAAGGATGATATCATCTGGATACTTGTGCCACTGCGTCCATGTTTATGCCAGCGTTAGGAAATCTGCCATTTTTGCCAATTTCCAGAGGTTGGGCATAGGTGATGTGAAGCTTCCGGTTAAGGCCAAGATCCAGCGCTGGATAAACACTTCTACGGTCTGTGTTAGGACCTTGTTTGCCAGCGAGAAGAAGCTTTGCGAGCAAATCTTTGATGGGGTTGGTTCTGAAATTGATCGTGCTTGCTTCATGGAAACTGTGAAGGAACCTGCCATTCAGCTTCTCAACTTTGCTGACGCTACTTGCAAAAGCCCCACCACATCCCCTGACATGCTGTTCATGATTCTAGACCTGTATGAAGCTTTGTCTGATTTCCATGATATCTTTAACTTCAAATCCGGCGAGTCCATACGTGTTACAGCTGCTGAGGTTCTGCCTCGGTTGGCCGAAACTGTAAGAGAGACTTTGTCTCTGTTTAAAAAAACCGTGGTTGAGGACAAGTCTAAGGATGTTGTCCCTGGGGGAGCAATTCACCCCTTCACCACCCATGTCATGAATTATTTAAATTTTATCTCTAATTACAAGAAAACTATGAATGAGCTTATAGTGTCTAACCCATCATTATCATTATCAACTGGGTCTATTTTTGACTTGGAATTGGCTTACATCTTAGATCAGGAAGCTGGTAAAACCCCGTTCGGTATTCACTTGATTTGTTTTATTGAGATGTTGCAATATAAGTTGAAGGGTAAGTCAAAGCAATATAAGGACTCATCTTTGTCTCAAGTGTTCATGATGAACAATAACCACTACATTTTTAAGAAGGTAGAAGGGTGTTCTGAATTGATGGACATAATTGGAAATGATTATTTGGATAAGCTGAAGCAGAAATTCCATGAGGCCAGCGAAAACTACCAAAAAGCAACTTGGGAGAGGGTGTTGGGTCGTTTAAGTGAGTTTTTTCTTGTTAATGAAAGTATGATAAAAACCGACATAACGGCCTTCAATATCATGTTTGAGAAGGTTAGAAGGAGTCATGGTGGTTGGGTAATACCGGATTTGCAACTGAGGAAGGAACTTCGAATGTCTATATTAGTGAAACTGCTCCCAGCATATAGTGCATTTATTAGGCGGAACTCACGCCTCTTTCAGAAAGGATATTTAGTGAAATACCTTGAGTATTCTCTTCAGGACTTGGAGGACACTGTCTTGAAATTTTTCGAAGGAACCCCTGTTTCCAAACACTCCAGGAGGAGATACACTGATCGAGTCAAGTAAGAGTATGTTTAATTTACTTTTTAACATGATATGGTATGTTAAAATTCAAATTTACAAAGTAGAAGAAGTTTTTAATGTCAATAACAAGATAAGTTGAGTTGAGATTAACTAATCATGGAAACTCTACATTCCAAAGAAAATTTACTTTTTATTTGGCTGGTTAGTTTACTAATGCTCTCCCTACAAATGATCCCAGATTTCTTGCAGACATTGTATCTTCGCCAGCCCAATCTAGTGACGAAGAACTTATCAGTGACTCACTCCATGCCACCTGCGGTTCAGTGTGCTCGGAGAGTAGCAGCTGAAATCACTACTCTCACTCAAAGCTTTTCATTTTGTATTGTGTGTAAGTGATGCCTCTGCCTCTGCCTCTGATGTTAGCTTATGGTTATCGGTCTACACAGAGCCATTCTTCCATACTTCGACCCATTTGAATGTGCCTGTTACACAAATATCTATCAATTTTATGCCATTCTCACAATAATCGTTATTCATAAAGTAACATAGAATATATACAAATTTAATTCTAAATTCAATTACATTACACTACAATATTAGACATTTTTTAACGCGTAAAACGTTTTTTTTTTTCATGTGTACATGCTATAACTTACGAGCTAAGAAATGTTTAAAGTTTAGCAACAAAGATCTACTGAGCTAGATTGAGTTATCTCAGTAGTTATATTAAACTTTATTAGAAATATTTATAAAGAATTATTAATATTCATAAATTAATGTTTAGTCATGTTATAATCTACAAAAGAAAAATTTCCTATTTTTTATTTTATTTATGTTTTTTTAATAATACTCACAGGAAAAAGAAGAAGTAAATAAATTATATTTTTATTTTAAAAATTAAAATCAATTTATGCATTCATTGTTTTCTAACTTTTCTCATTTTCCATTTTAAATAAAATCAATTAAAGTGTTTAATTTTTTCCGTTTTTTGCATATATTTATTGACTGATAACGATCAATCACAACAATAATCCTCTCAAATTTTCTGAGAGCTTTTAACTTTGACTTGTTTTCGACCGTTAATATCAATCAAAACATAAGCTAAAGATTTTATCAATATAACCTTAATACCAAATCCAACACTAAACTGGTCAAGAATCTTCTTCACAGAATAAATGTTTGAAAATCCAAATTATAAGCGTTAAAGTAAACGCAAAATGTGCAACTAGATTTGCTGTAACATAATAAAAACTAATCTGCTGTAAAAAGTGATGATGCTATTTTGTCTCAGTTCGTCATAGCAAATGAAAAAGAACTTCCAATATGCAGATAGAAACGCAGTAATCAAACGCTTTTACTAGCCATGATTGACAGATAACGTTAGGTATTTGGACGTTGAAATTAATCGAATTCTGGACTTAAAAGCAATAATCCTGCAATAATCCTATTGAATGTTCCACTGTTTAAGAGCTAAGTATTCTAAATTCAAGATTTATCCAAAATTATATTCCTTTATAATTTGGAGATTTGACTCAAATTAAAGTACTAGTCTCAAATATGATAGACTCTGCCATACAACTAGGGGGAAGGAGTTCGTGAGAAAATTGAGTATCCAGTAAGTGACATATATCTCATACATCAGAAGCCTCGGGACAATTTTCTGGAGCCTTGAGAAGCGTCAATGCCTCGCCCTTGTGTGCCATGATAGCAGCTTTAAACTCCTCCACTATGGACCCATCTTTGAACTTCAAAGCAAATGTTGAAAGACCATCCTTCCCTTCGGTGGCACTATTGATGCAAGCAAAAGTAACACCCTTCTTGTCCATATTTGTGAGCTTCATATCAGGGTATAGACGTGCATTTAAAATCAACCTGTAATTTCCCCTAGACCTCATGAGTAGTCGGGCTTTTTCTGTTCCACTAGTTACATTCACCTTCACTTCTCCCTTGCCTCTTTCCTTCCAACTCCCATCCACAAATTCAAACAATACTGAATCTGCATTAAAAACTACTTTTTCATTTTCTTCACCAGTTTCAACAACAACTTCTTGCAGGGTTGACAAACCACTTCCATCACTCTTAGAAACAGCAGATGCCCCAAAACCGGAACTTCCATTGTTGGATAAACCCAAACCAAGAGGCTTGTCATTTTTCATTCCAAAAATAGAACCAGACCCACTGCCCAAAGCAGACCCGTCATTTGACACAGACCCAAAGGAAAACAAGGAAGAAGAAAATCCAGTTCCAGCAAGACCTGTGAAAGCATTCTGACTTTGTGAAAGCTGTTGAAATGACTTCAAACTGCTGACTTCAGCACTAGGTTCTTCACTTTCAACTTTTTCATCGTTCTTATCCTTGTTTTCGCTATTTTCTTTCTTATCATCGTTTGCGGCATTATTTTCATCCTTAGATTGTTCTTTATCATCCTCACTGGCACTCTCCTTATTTTCATTGTTCTTCTTGTCATCATTTTCGCTTTTATTGTCATCCTTCCTTTGCTCATCATCTACCTTAGATTTGTTATCATTATTCTCCTTCTCTGCATTGCTTCCTTCAGCAGCATCCTTACTTTCAGCACATTTATCCTCCACCTCATGAGGTTTTCCCTCTGTCTCTGATTCCTTACCTTCTTCATCTTTAGCTTTCTCAGACTCTTTGATTACACTGTCACTACCTTTCAAATCATCTGCAACAGTATTCTCACCAGCTTCTTGTGTTTTGGTAGTAGCTTCACAGGGATTTTCACTGGACTCGGTAGGAGCAACCAAGCGTATTCCAGCAAAAGGATTTGACGAAGGAGCAGAATTGGTCTGCTGGCGGCGAACTTTGACTATTCTTCTGGTTGCCAGAACCTCATCACTGGCCCTTTTGAAAGTTCCAGCATCAAGCTCAGGGCTATCTTCCTCATCATCCAAAGGAGTGTCTCGAGTGAGCTCCCTTCCAGCAGCTCTTTTCTTTGATGGTGGAAGGGAATTCTCAGTATCCCCCATTGAAGAAAGAGACCAATATATCAAACTTCTATTTCCCAAGTTTCAGTACAAGAAGAGCTGCAATCAGGAAATTACAGCTTTCATTCAAGTACAAGATTCATAGTGGTATTAAGAGTAGCCCAAGCTATAAGAATGACATCATACTTATACGGATCAGGAATATACACACATTCTAAATCCTCAAAAAATGTTAAACATTACCTAGAAATACCACACACTGGGCAAATAAAAAATATGTGCCATCAAACTCAGTAAGGCAAGACCAGAAATCCTATTAATATAAAATTCACAAACTAGCCCTCCCAACCAACCACACACTGAGAAGACAGTGAAAAAGCTAGTAAACATCAACACTGAGAGCTAGATGCATGTACACCATTAAACCTCATAGATAGTTTACAGAAAATTTCTCTTATCCCATCTGAACAAAATTAAACAATCATTTTGAAAAAGCATTCATTTCATAAGAATTCCATGGATGCAAAAAAGAAGAAGAATATATTTGGAGCTAAATTAAACCCTTCACTTCAATTGCTGTCCACTAACAGATTATGTAAGACATATACTTATAGTTATTTAAGCATTATATACTGTCCACAGAAGCATAAGTAAAGAAAACAAAAAGATGGTTCAAAGAGATTCAGTTGAAACCAACATCTATGAATCGAGTTACATGCTCTGTGAGAAAAAGATCAGCTTGGTTCGTACCTGAAGTTGAAGCAAAGTGGAGATCGAGATCCAGAGACTATGGAGTGTCGACAGCAAGACGCAGATCAGGCATTCAGCGAAAATGGGCAACACTCTAGGGACTAGGGTTTCACAAGGGTAAGACAGGAAAACCAGAATAAGTGTAAGAACGTGCGTTTTGGTTCGGTTAACTGCATAAAAAAAAACACGTGTTTTTAAATTTTTTATTTTTTCGATATTACTGAAGATAATTTTTTTTTACGTCAAAATAAAAGGTTGGTATTAGTTAATCGATAATAATATTTGCTGAATTTTAAGAATAAGGTTTATATCGTTAAGCTTGATTAGTTTATTCTTAATGTGTCTATTTTGTTTAATAGATATATGCAAGAATTAATCACCTACGAGGGAGTCTAAGTGAGCCTGAATTTGATTAACAGTGTGTTTGAATTGAGTCAAATTTATTCGAATGTATATCTATATTATTTTAAAATCATTTTAGTAAGTGTTTATCCATATATTAACTTATGAACTCGACAAATTCACCTGATTCATACAAGAAAAATTAATTTAAACTATTTCGTCAATTTTATTTATCTAAAGGAATTTCGGATTCCATATACATTATGTCAGGTGTTGGATTGAAAAAACTTTCAAATTCGCCCTGCTATATGACTTTTCTTATTTTTTAAATGATTTCTTTTATTTCATTTTCTTTTATTTTTGCATAAATATTAAATAAAATATCTTAGAACATAAATATATTTCAAAGTAATGACCAAACTGATCCCATATGAATTTGATTGGGTTGATTCTGCTCGGGTTAGTACAAAGAAAAACACAGAACATCCAAATCTAAACTAAAATATTTCAATCAATATAAACTCGCTTACTTAACTATTCAAAAGATAAATTGTGTATAAATTAAAAAAGTTTTATACATTTTTTATATTAATTTTCTTCACTTATAAAAAGAACTCTAGAACTTTAGCTAAATTAAGCCCTAAATTACATAGGCAAAGTGTGGAAAGTGATCGGAAGACAAAATTAAGGAGACCACAAGCATGTGAAAAACAAAGATCAGTAGCTCTGAAAATTTAAGATGGAAAATAAAATATAATCCAGAACTCAATTGTGATATTAATCTCACCTTACACAACAAAGAGAGTTTACAGGAAAATTTTGGCGTCAATTATATAACAAATGATTGCTCAAGCAACAAAATTTTACAAAATTTCAAGCCAAATTGCTGTACAAACAAGTGGAAAAATACATGATGTGAGTTCTGAGATTTGGTCACTGATTCACTATTGAAAATGGACTTAATTATATGTGCAGCCTATTTGTAGTAAATTAAATGATACACTAAAAAGATAAAACTAGAATTGCTAGGACTGAGCTGGTAAGAGTAAGAATTGTAAAAATAACTTGTCAAAATGGGATTCACTACCATTGGCTCCATTACTCGTAATCTGCCCTTTATCAGCCTTGGTGGCATCAGTAGAATTGGCATTCACTACCATTGGCTCCTCTTGGTTTCCTTCCTCTCCATTTTGTTAGTCCTTTTCTCCATTTGGTTCAGTCAACTGCAACAAAAGGACAAAAACAACGTAATGCAACTCTCTAACACCTCCACTAACAATCAATTTGGGTTATAGATTTTTCTTTACAAATTACCAAAATGTAGTGCGTATCCCATAACAAAGAAAAAAACAATCAAGAGAAAGAAAAACAATTAAGATTATTGCATTGAGAGATTCTGAATAACACAACTGTGTCTATCAAATAGAGCCTACTTTGGGAACAGTAGAAATTGTACTTAACTCAATCATCGTGCTTTCTCCTGCTCAAGTGCTAGGAAATAGGTTTTCCTTTAAATAGCTCCAAAACAGCAGCCTGCAGCTCCAGCTCAGAATACTCTACATATCTTCCATTCAAGTTAATGCTCCCACACTGCCCAACTAATGACGTATATGCTGGGATTAGCTTCTCCGTTATAGACATTCGAAGGCTCTTCCTGAGTTGTGAATCCGGTATTGACCAGACAGCCTGAGTCCTGTGAATCTTCTCAAACAAGGCATTGAAGGCCTTAATTTTTTTTCTCAAAGCACTCTTCGAGATTGACATCTTGCAACCTATTTTCAAATACAATCCCTCATCCGTTAAGCAATTCAACACCCTCCCCCAAGTTGATTTCTCGTAGCTAATAGCAGCCTGCTGGAATTTCCTCTCCAGCTTCTCCAAATAACCATCTCCAATCATGTCCCTCAATTCAGAATGCTCTTTCAGTGCTCTCATCCAATCAAAAATGAAGTGGACATTGTTCATTATGAACAGATGAGACAAAGACTTGTCTTTATATTGCTTGGCCTTGCCATCCAAGTGAATTTGCAATATCTCAATAATCCAAATTAAGTGAACCCCCAACGGGGTTTTCCCTTCCTCCTCGATGATGTGTGCTAAATCCACATTGAAAATAGACTCCATTGATGGCTTAGACACTATAAGCCGATTCAAAATTTTCTTGTTATCACAGATAAGCCTTAAATCATCTATTACACACCAGGTTAAGGGGTGAATTGTCCCACTTGCCGGAACAGGAGCCTTCGCCGTGTCCCGTAGCAGAGCATTCTCAAACGCTGACAAACTCCCCATTGCAGCCTCAGACAAGCGAGACAGAACGTTACGAGCGAGAACACGTATGGACTCACAGGATTTAAGACCAAAGGCATTATCAAGATGAGGTATCAAATCTGCCAAAGCATTATATAGGTCTAGAATCATTAACAGCTTGTAAGGTAATGACATGAGGGTTGTGCAAGTAGTGTCAGCAAAGTTGAGAAGCTGAATGGCAGATTCCTTGGCAGTTTCAATGAAGGAAGCATGAGCAATATCAGGACCAACCCCATCAAAGATTTTCTCACAAAGCCTCTTTTCACGGGCGAACAATTTGAGAACACAAACCATAGCAGCCTCTCTCCAGCGGTGGATCCTGGCCTCGAGCGGAGCACCAACATCACTGATGCCCAGACTCCCAAGTATGGCATCGATATTGGATTTCCTCACAGTGCCATAAACCTGAATGCATTGCCACAAGTACCCAGACGATATCATCCTTTCAGCAATGCAACGCAGGTCGTTTATAGCATCAACACTGAAACAATGCACACTCGTCTCGTCGAACCTGCCAAAATAAAGAAGCCTACAATCATCGTAATAATAATAATCATCATCATCATCATGTCGTTTTGCTGAAGCTGAAGATTTAAAGCGGAGACAACAGAAGCATGCACAACCCTGTTTGGGTTCTTCTTCTTCTACTACTACTTCGTCTTCTTCTTTGGTGTTGAGATGGGGAAGGACGGAAATGGGCTTGGTGCGGGAGGTGAGAATGTTGCGAAATTCGTTTTCCAAGCGTGCCATGGCGATCGAGACAGCACTCTGGTCGCCGGAGCGCTGGATTTCGTCTACGGCTTGGAGGTAGCGCTCCGCCTCTTGCCGGTCGCCGTCGAAGATCATCTTTTGTCGGACATCCTCGGAGTCCCACCGGAAAATGATTTCGACCGGCGAGTTGTCCATCGGTGGGAATGGAATTGGGGAGTGGGAGACAAAGAATTGACTTTGGATGTGTCCCTATTGACAAAAGAACCGCCAAAGCAGACACTCGCTCACATTTCTATATTTTACGTCTCAAGTTTTGTGCAATAATAAATATTAAAAAAAGATATCGTATCTTTTCTTTTTTTATTACAACTTTTATTGATATTAATTAATATTTTCAAACTCAACCAAGGTATAGTGGTATACGGTTTTTCTTGGTTTTTAAATGAGTTTTCTTTGTTTCACTCTCTTTTATTTTTGCGTAATTTTTAATCAATATAAATACGCGTCTTCAACACTCATGCATTTCACTTAAAAAACATTATCACATGGTTACAGAAAAAAATAATAAGAAACAAAATCCTAGTGACCATACGAGTAAACATTATCACTAAAGATCCACTTCCATTTATCAGCTGGTCGACAATTCTCTAGTACAAAAACGTAGTGCATGAGAATTATCTACCCAAACAATTTTTGTTATTTTGGTAAGTATATTTCCATAATTTTATAGCACAACCCTGTTACCAAAATTTCTTTTCAAAACATAAATTCTAAATAATGAAAGCAGAGGTCATTTTGTAACACAGTGACCAAAAATAACTGCCACCTGTTACGATGCTCTCTTGGAATTGATGGTAGAATTTTGTTGGTCCTTTCCAAATCACCACACATCGCTAGTGTTTTGTACTCCATTAAGCTTAAAAGTAGTGGTATCCCATTACAGTGAGAAAAAGCAATCAAGAAAAAGAAAAATAATCAATATTACTGCATATTCTGAATAACACACTGTCTATAAAAAAATAAACCCCACTTTGGCTACCAAGATATCCCAAAAATAGGACCGTCCAAATGAAACATTGTAGTCACCTAAGTTCACAACGTAATGCATTGTTAGGAACCAAGAGTATAAACGAGAAAGAAAATAAAGAATTTATTGAATTGAATGAAAAGAAAAAAAGTACGAGAGATATCTCTTCCAAGGTTTTCCATTTACCAAGGATTTCTTTTTTAACGAAGAGCTAATGCTTAATTTACAAATAATAGCATATCTCGTTCCCTTTTCCTTACATCTTAATCATATTTATTTAGTTCACAGAACTCCTCTAACTAACTAACCCCTTCCAGAAATCTTGAAGCACTCGAGAGCCTGAGAAATCTCAGATTGACTCAATTACCTGAACACTCCAAAGAAAAAAGAAACAGAGAATTAGAAGACTGTGTCATAGTTTCTAAACTTAAAAAGGAAAATAATTGTTTCACACCTCATATTCGGGTGCCAAATGAGTGAAAAGTACAAAGAGAGGAAAAAAAAAAAGATTAAGTGAGAGACGTAATAGATGGCATAATTAAAAAGAAAAAGATAATGAAAATAAATATAAGAGAAAAAAATGTGAAAGATATGACGGAAGATACTTGAAAACTTGACTCAATCGTTGTGTTCTCTCTACTCAAGTGCTAGGAAGTAGGTTTTCCTTTAAAAAAATCAAAAACAGCAGCATGCAGATCCAGCTGAGAATACTTAGCATGGCCCATTACATATGTTCCACTCAATTCCATCTTCCCATGCCGCCTAACAAATGACCTATACGCTGGGATCAGTTTCTTTGTTATGGACATTTGAAGGCTATTTCTAAGTTCTAAATCCGGTATTGACCAGACAGCCTGAGTCCTATGAACCTTTTCAAACAAGACATTGAATGCCTTAATTTTTTTTCTCAAAGCACTTTTCGACATTGACATCTTGCCACCTTTTTTCAAATACAGTTCCTCCTCCGTTAAACAATCCAACACCCTCCCCCAAGTTGATTTCTCGTAGCTAACAGCAGCCTGATTGAATTTCCTCTCCAGGTTTTTCAAATGACCATCTCCAATCATGTCCCTCAATTCAGAATGCCCTCTCACCCTCTTAAAAATGTAGTGGACATTGTTCATCATGAACAGATGAGACAAAGACTCGTCCTTATAATGCTTGCACTTACCATACAACTTAATTAGCAATATCCCAATAATCAAAGTTAAGCAAATAGTCAATCGGTCTTCCCCTTCTTCCTGAGCAAAATGCATATCCAGGGTGAAAATAGACTCCATTGATGGCTTAGGCAGTATAAGACCATTCAAAGTTTGCTTGTAATCACAGATAAAACATAAATAATCCATCGCATAGGTAGTCAAGGGATGAATTGTCCCATTTGCAGGGATAGGAACCTCAGACTCAGATGTGTCCCCAAGCACAGCATTCTCAAACCGGAAGAAAGTGTGCCTTGCAGCCTCAGACAATCGAGACAGAATATTAGTAGCGAGAACACGGATGGACTCACATAATTTATGGTCAAAGATATTATCAAAATGAGGTATCAAATCAGCCAAAGCTTGATACAGGTCTAGAATCCTGAACAGCTTCTGAGGCGATGAGGTCGTGGCTGTGAAAATAGCGTCAGCGAAGTTGAGAAGCTGAATGGCAGATTCCTTCATAGTTTCCATGAAGCAAGCATGATCAATATCATCACCAACCCCACTAAAGATTTCCTCACAAAGCTTCTTCTCACGGGGGAAGAAGGTGAATACACAGACCTTAGCAACCTCTCTCCAGCGGCGGATCTTGGCGTCAAGCGGAAGGTTAACATGACTGATGCCCAGCCTCCGAAGAGAGGCATCGATAATGGATTTCCTCACAGTGCCATAGACCTCGATGCACTGGCACAAGTGCCCAGACGATATCATCCTTTCGGCGATGCAACGCAGGTCGTTTATAGCACCAATACTATAACCTAGCTTATTAGTCTTGTCCAACCTAAGAGAATAAAGAAAATTACAATCATCAAAAGGATCATAATCATCTTGTCGTTTTCCTGAAGCTGAAGTGTTAAAGCGTGGATGACTGAAGCAAGCACAACCATGTTGAGCTTCTTCTTCTTCTTCTTCTTTGGCGTGGATATGGTGAAGGAAGGAAATGGGCTTGCTACGGGAAATGAGAATATTGCGAAATTCGTTTTCCAAGCGTGCCATGGCGATGGGGATAGCACTCTGGTTGCCGGAGCGCTGGATTTCGTCGACGGCTTGAAGGTAGCGCTCCGCCTCTTGCCGGTCGCCGGCGAAAATCATCTTCTTTCGGGCTTCCTCGGAGTCCCACCGGAGAATGATTTCGTAGGGTAAGTTGTCCATCACTGGAATCGGAATTGGAGACTTTTGAGACGAAGGGATTGACTATGGTTGTGTGTCCGAAGAAAGATATTGACTTGGTGAGGGCTAGGTACTGGAATCGTAAAAAGCTACGTTTTTTCCCCCGTTTTTTATTTTATTTATTGGTTCTCTCAATTACTTTGAAAAATTTTAGGACATTAAATATTTAAATTATCAAATAAGAAATATTATATAGTTTATTTTTTGAAGATATTAAATTATTAAACATAACAAGTAACATGGGACATGCTTATAATATATATATATATATATATATATATATAAATAATATTATCGATTATTTGGATTATTTGGATCCAACATTAGGCTTTTTTATTTAAATATTGTAAAATAAAAAATAATTTATTAAAATAGTGTATTTTTCAAACAATTTTTCTGTCTGGGGTTGGGGTGCACACGTATCGCCAAAACGGCTGACGAAACTTATTATTTTAATATTATAAAATAAGTTTCGCCAAACGAAAGGCAAAAGTTGAAGGTAATTTCGCCATTCACCCCGCGAAACATGAAAAAGTAGACACATTAGAGAGCGGTTCAGTTTGAACCACTCTCAGAATCCTATCTAAGAGAGCGGTTCATTAGTAACCGCTCTCAGAAGTTCTCATAAGAGAGCGGTTCAAGAATAACCGCTCTCAGAAGTGGTAATTAGTCTCCTTTTGCCATTTTTTCTGCGAAAACGTTTTTAACGCAGATCTTTTGGTGAAACCTGATATTATTTATTCCCACCCCTGCCCCTCTCATCCGAGGCTCATTTTGCAGGATGAGTAGAATTGTTATTATTATATATTGGAATGGTAGAATATATGAAAGAAATGAAGGAGTGAGCTTTGATGGAAGTAAGAGAGTGATTCAGATACAGCGAGAAATAAGTTTTGAAGCCTTGAAAAGAAAAATTCATTTGAAACTTAATCTTAATAATAATCAAGTAATTTGTAGATTAATTTCTCATTTTTTGATTGATGAAAATAGTAGACAATATACAGCTTTAGATATATGTGATGATGAAGATATTGATTGCATGATAAGTACATTTTGAGAGCGGTTCTTGTGAAACCGCTATCTTAGTAGAACTTCTGAGAGCGTTTCTTTTGGAACCGCTCTCTTTCATGGACTTCTGAAAGCGGTTCCTAATGAATCGCTCTCTAATGGTCCTACTTTGTTCAACTTTCGCCTTTCGTTTGACGAAACTTGTTTTATAATATTAAAATAATAAGTTTCGCCAGCCGTTTTGGCGATACGTGTGCGCCCCAACCCCAGATAGGAAAATTGTTTGAAAAATACACTATTTTAATAAATTATTTTTTATTTTACAATATTTAAATAAAAACCCATATTAGATTGGCTGTGATAGCCCGTACTCCGTAGCTGCATCCGGATCTTCTGCTGTCTCAATTCATACAGTCATTCTTATCATTATTGGCTCTCTTTTTTTCTATTTTGTTAATTTTGTTTAATTTTAAATATAAAATAAATGATAAATATTTATCTTTTCTTTTTCTGTGACTGCAGAGGGTCATACTCCCATAGGTCTTTACTCTTCAAGAATAAATACATGCATTTGGTTTGTGAAAACATTTTTTTTATTTTAAAAGATATTTTTCATTTTTAATTTTGTAATTTATTGAAAACATGTTTAGTTTCATTTTCAGTTCTGCTATCCTTTTAAAACATACTATTAAAGGCCTTTATCATTTGTTTCATAGCACTTTCGTGACCAATACTATATTCTGCATACATATCCATCTCTTCTGAACAATGCAACACCCTCCTCCCCCAAGTTGCTCTCTGGTAGTTAGTCCCAGCCCGCCAGAATTTCCACTTCAGCTTATGCAAATGATCATTTCCAATTGTTCATCATTTCAAATCGGGAATGAATACTGTGCAATTTTGGCACGAACTATAATTAATATAAATTTTTATTTTTGTTTAAACAAAAAGTCATCCATTTAAGAAAAATAGAAAAATGCACTAAATGCAGAGTATTCTAGTCCTTTCAGAACACCCTCCCACCTTCTTAAAAATGTAATGAACATTGTTTATCATAAACACACGTGAGACAGAGATCAGTAGCCACTCTAGAAAGTTTAAGATATAAAATAAAATATAATCTTAAGATCCAATTGTGATATTAATCTCATCTTACACAACAAAGAGAGTTTACACGAAAAGTTTGGCATTAATTGCATACCACATGATTGCTCAAGCAACAAGTGTTACAAAATTCCAAAACATATTGCCGTACAAACTTATGAAAAAGTAGATGATGGGAGTTCTGAGATTTGGTCACTGATTCACCACTGAATGTGGACTTAATTTTATAATTTCTTCTCTATCTCCCATATATACATCCTATTTGTAGTAAATTATATGATACACTAAACAGATAAAGTAGAATTGCTAGAACCCAGGTGGTAGAAGTAAGAATTGTAAAAATAACTTGTTGTCAAAGTGGGAGTTAGATATGGCACTTTAGAAACAATCACACAGTGGAAACAAGGCTGATGGGGCTCCATTACTCTACATCAGCCTCATTACCATTGAAAGGGCTGTGCCATCAGTAGAATTGGCATCCACTACAATTGGCTCGACTTAACTCGACCATTGTGTTATCTCCTTCTCAAGTGCTGGGAAACTGGTTTTCCTTTGAAAAAATCCAAAACAGCAGCCCGCAGGTCTCCCTTAGAATACTTAACATAGTCCACTACATGTGTTCCACTCAATTCAATGCTCCCATGCCGCCCAATAAATGACTTATACGCTGGGATCAGCTTCTCTATTATAGACTTTCGAAGGCCCCTCCTGAGTCCTGAATCCGGTATTGACCACACAGCCTGAGTCCTATGAACCTTCTCAAACAAGGCATTGAAGGCCTTAATTTTTTTTCTCAAAGCACTCTTCGAGATCGACATCTTGCCACCTTTTATCAAATATAATCCCTCCTCTGTTAAACAATCCAACACCCTCCCCCAAGTTGATTTCTCGTAGCTAATAGTAGCCTGCTGGAATTTCGTCTCCAGCTTCATCAAATGACCATCTCCAATCATGTCCCTCAATCCAGAATGCCCACTTACCCTCTTGAAAATGTAGTGGACATTGTTCATTATGAAGAGGCGAGACAAAGACTCGTCTTTATATTGCTTTGACATAACATCCAAGTTTAGTTGCAATATTCCACAAATCCAAATTAAGTGAATAACTAATGGGGTTTTCGTTTCATCAGCAAAATCCATATCGAGGGTGGAAATGGCTTAGAAACTATAACCTCATTTAAAGTTTGCTCGTAATCACAGATAAAACTTAAATAATCCATCACATAGGTGGTGGAGGGGTGAATTGTCCCATCTTTAGGAACATGAACCTCAGACTCAGACCTGTCCCCAAGCACAGTACTCTCAAACTCTGACAAAGTGTCCCTTGCAGCCTCAGACAAGCGAGACAGAACATCAGCAGCAAAAACACGTATGGACTCACAGGATTTAAGGTCAAAGACATTATCAAAATGAGGTATCAAACCCGCCAAAGCTTTATACAAGTCTAGAATCCTGAACAGCTTGTCAGGTAATGATCTCAGGCTCAGGGTTTTGCAAGTGTCATCAGCAAAGTTGAGAAGATGAATGGCAGGTTCCTTGGCAGTTTCCATGAAGGAAGCATGAGCAATATCAGGACCAACCCCATCAAATATTTCCTCACAAAGCCTCTTCTCGCGGGCGAACAAAATAAGAACACAGAGCATAGCAGCCTCTCTCCAGCGATGGATCTTTGTCTCAAGCGGAAGCTGGTCTCGCTGAACATCACCGATGCCAAGCCTCCGAAGAGTGGCATCGATAATGGATTTTCTCACAGTGCCATAAACCTCGATGCACTGGCACAAGTACCCAAACGATATCATCCTTTCCGCAATGCAACGCAGATCGTTTATATCATCATCACTAAAAGCTATCACACCCATCACGTCCAACCTGGCAAAAGAAAGAAGTTCATCATCAGCATCATGCCGTTTTGCAGAAGGTGAAGCGTTAAAGCGTAGATGACCGAAGCAAGCACAACCCTGTTGGGGTTCTTCTTTTTCTTTTTCTTCGGTGATGAGATGGCAAAGGGAGGAAGTGGGGTTGGTGTGGGAGATTAGGATGTTACGGAATTCGTCTTCTAAGCGTGCCATGGCGATCGGAATTGCACTCTGGTCTTCGGAGCGCTGGATTTCGTCGACGGCTTGGAGGTAGCGCTCCGCCTCTCGCCGGTCGCCGGCGAAAATCATCTTCTCTCGGGCTTCCTCGGAGTCCCACCGGAGAATGATTTCGCAGGGTAAGTTGTCCATCACTGGAATTGGAATTGGAGACTTTTGAGACGAAGGAATTGACTTTGGTTATGTGTCTTTGGAGACAAAGATACTGACCAAGTGCCAGTGGGGTAAGTCGTAGTACTTTGAAAGTACAGTTTTTAATTTCTTCCGATTTTCGTTTTATTTCTTGATTTAGTCTGTTAATTACTTTTAAGCTTTTAGAAAATTAAGTATTTAAATTAAAATATTATAAATATTGTATAATTTAGTTTTTTGAAGGGAGAACATTATTAAAAATAAAGTTAAAATACGCATTTGTTCATTTTTTTTAATTTTTATAAAAAATATTTTATTATATTTTAGGTTTTGCTATTATAATATCATTAAAGTTATAGTTTGTTAAGTTGTATTATAATAATAAGCATCAAAAAATATTTATTAATATTTACAATTGTTAATAAAAAATAAAAATAAAAATAATTATTTTTTATAAATTTTTAATCATTAAAATAAACAACAGTTAAGAAAATATACTTCTAAGCTGTTCTTTATCTTGAATCTCTAAAAAAAAAAAACTTGTTTTAATGGGTTGATATTTCCCGCTGACTAAACTTTATAAATATTAATGTTTACTGTTATTTTTTTTTTCAGTGAAATCATATATAATTATTAAAAGAATTCAATTTATTTTAACAGATTTTATCTCTGATATAACTTTTACACTTTTTAACTTTTAATTTTATAACTCATTCACTAATTAAGAAAAAAAAAATATTTTTATCTGCTTAAAAAATTAATATATTTTAATGTAATTTATTCCTGTACTTGATTAATGTCTTACTTTAAAATTCTTGTCTTTCTATCACTGCATCTCTGGGCTCTGATCATTAGCAATTAAATTTTCTTGAGTTAATCTCAACCGTTAATACATATATTTTAAAATAATATAATATAATTAAAAAATAAATTATACAAAATGAGATTGCAGGATGTGCAGTATTTTATTTTTTACTGCAGTCATTTTTTATTGTAGATGGACCGATTTTAAGGGGCAAGGAAGAAATTGACGAGGAAATAAATTTTTTCTTAAGTTTGGGTGGGAGTAGGGACACTTTTTTTTTTAATAAATAAATTAAAATTTTATTAAAAATAAAATTAAAATATTTAAAATAATTTTAATTTTTAAAAAATATTTTTATTTATAATTAACCCATCTTAATATCTAATATTTATTGATCAATCAGAAACATGGCCTCTGAAATTTACTTGCTGGACTAATGCTTGTGTACACCCTATCCTTATATATTAGTTTAATCATAAGTTTTAGGAAATAAAATTCTGGAAGGAGTGGTAATAATAAATTTCTGCTCGAAAATATGATTACGGAAGGATTATAATCTTAAATTTTAAAAGATATAAATATAAAAACTAATTTTTATATTTTTAGAATTAAATTTTGAAAAAAAAATTATAATTTTTGAAACTTAAATTGTAGAAATTCCAAAATTTTAAGGAAAAAAAAAGTAGAGAGGTGCATGAACATAAGAAGATAATTAGTGTTATATTATTTTTCAATAATTTTTTTATTATCATAAAAGGGTATTTTAGAAATAAAAAAAAATAGAGGGGCGAAATAAGAAAAAATGCGGGTACAAAAAGCAATTCCCCATCTCTAATATAGACACTAGAAGCTCCTCTCTCAGTTGAAAAAAAAGCTCCGCAAATGATTTTCAGATTCCAAACCAAAAAGCAAGATAATGCAGCACTCCAATACCACCACTAACAATCAATTGGGTCATAGATTTTTCTTTCCAAATAACAAAAAAGTAGTGTGTATTCCATAAAGAGAGAGAGAGAGAGAGACAGAAACAACTAAGAAAAAGAAAAACAATCAAGATTACTGAATTGAGAGATTGTGAATAATAGAAACATTGATGAACTCCATCAAATAGACCCTACTTTGGGAACATTAGAAACTTGAATACTTAACTCAATCTGCTCAAGTGCTGGGAACAGGTTTTCCTCTAAAAAGACCCAAAATAGCGATCTGCAGGGTCAGCTCAGAATACTTGAAGGAGTCCATTACATCGAGTGTTCCACTCAATTGAATGCTCCCATGCCGCTCAACAAATGACTTATACACAGGGATCAGCGTCTTTGTTATAGATATTTGAAGGCTGCTCCTGAGGCTAGAATCCGATATTGACCGCATAGCCTGAGTCCTATGAACCTTCTCAAACAAGGTATTGAAAGCCTTAATTTTTTTTTCTCAAAGCACTCTTTGAGATTGATATCTTGTCACCCTTTTCCAAATACAATCCCTCGTCTGTCAAACAATCCAACACCCTCCCCCAGGTTGCTTTCTCGTGGCTAATAGCAGCCTGCGTCAATTTCCTCTCCAGCTCCTTCAAACGACCATCTCCAATTATGTCCCTCAATTTAGAATTTCTTCTCACTCTCTTATGAGTGTAGTGGACATTGTTCATTATGAACAGATGAGACAAAGACTCGTCTTTATATTGCTTGGACTTACCCTGCAGCTTAACTTGCAATTCCTCAAAAATCCAAATTATGTGAACACGCAACGGGGTTTCCCCTTCCTCTTTGATGTCAGCAAAAAATGACTCCATTGATGGCTTAGGTACTATAAATTTATTCAAAGTTTGTTTGTAATCAGAGAAAAAATTTAAATAATTCATGACATAAGTGGTGAAGGGGTGAATTGCTCCGCTGGGGATAACAACCGTAAATTTGTCCCAAACCACAGAACATTCAAACAAATACAAAGCCCTTCTTCCAGCTTCAGCCAACCGAGGCAGAACCTCAGCAACCATAACACGTATAGACTCAGAGGATTTGAAGTCAAAGACACGATCAAAATCAGCCAAAGCTTCATACAGCACTAGAATCTTGAACAAGATGTCAGGTGACGAGATGGGGCTCATGCAAGTAGCGTCAGCATATTTAAGAAGTTGAATGGCAGGTTCTTTCACAGTTTCCATGAAACAGGCACGATCAATTTCAGGACCAACCTCATCAAAGATTTTCTCACAGAGCTCCTTCTCGTTGGCAAACAAGGTCCTAACATAAACCGTAGAAGCCTCTCTCCAACGCTGGATCTTGGCCTTAAGCCGAAGCTTAACATCACTGATGACCAGCCTCTGGACAGTGGCAACAAAAACAGATTTTCTAACTCTGGAATAAACATGGATGCAGTTGCCCAAGTACCCAGATGATATCATCCTTTCCGCGATGCAACGCAGGTCCTTTATAGCATCGTAAGGTATCACGCCAATGTGAGGAAGCTTATCATCATCAGCAGCAGCAGCAGCATCATGTTGTTTTGCTGAACCGTTGAAGCGGAAATGACGGAAGCAACCAAAACTGTTTTGGGCTTCTTTTTCTTCTTCTTCGGTGTTTAGAGGGTCAAGAGAAGAAGTGGGGTTGGTGTATGAGATTAGTATGTTACGGAATTCGTTTTCCAAGCGTGCCATGGCGATGGGGATGGTGCTTTGATCATCGGAGCGCTGAATTACGTCGACGGCTTGGAGGTACCACCTTGCCTGTTGCCGGTCGCCGGTGAAGATTATCTTTTGCCGGGCTTCCTCGGAGTCCCACAGGAGAATGAAGTCCAATGCTAAGTTCCTCATCAATGAATTGAGTAGACGAAGATACAGGGTCACCCCGTAAAGGACTTGACTTTGATTTGGTTGTCCAAGGAGACAAGGACACGTTCTAACCTTCAAGGTTCGGAAGAGAAATATAAAGAAAGAGAATAAAAAAATAGATGAAAAAAAAAAAGTGTTTAAGAACACAATTATCTGAAGAAATGTATATTGACTTTACTTTTGGTCGGAGTAACCGCGTAAGTTACTTTGAATTTGCAAAAGCATAAAGTTTTTCCTATTTTTCATTTTATTTCTGAAATTTTTAATGCACATTATAAATGATTTTAGTATATTTATGTGAACTGATGCACTAATCCAAAACTAATAGCTGTGGTACTTATAGATTTAACTCGGATAAAATCTTCAGTAAATGTTTATAAAAATAAAAATGATATATTTTAATATTTTTTCTCATAACATTCCTAAAGACTCGTTGCATAACTTGATTCTTATTGTTTTAGAAATTGATCCACATTGCACGCAAGTATTGAGTATTGATTTAATTTAGATTGCATTTTTAGAAATAATTGCATCCTGTATGTGAACTTGCTTTACATTAACATACACGTGGCATGAGTTCAAATCTAACTTATAGTGTAGAAAACTTTTGTGCTTTCATCGTTTTGTTAATACTTACATTCGGTGAAAAAAATTATTACCAACTAAGTTATAAACATATTTTTGTCCACATTTAAAACTAGTTTAGCACTACAATAAAACAAGGTTTAGTAACATTTTTGTCCTTTATATTTGAACATACATGTAATTTTAATTAGTTTTTTTCATACTAAAGTATCATCCTGTGATAACAAAATTCTCACTTCAAATATTGAACTCGAGACCATCATACCCTTTCCTTGCATCTTCATCATATTTATTTACTTCAGAAAACTCCTCTAACTAAGTAACCCCTTCCATTAATCTTGAAGCACTCGAGAGCCTGAGAAATCTAAGATTGACTCAATTACCGGAACACTCCAAGGAAAGAAAAACAAAGAATTAGAAGAATGTGTCATAGCTTCTAAACTACATGATACATGGCATGACTAAAAAGAAAAGGAGAATGAAAATGAATATAAGAGAAAATAAGTGTGAAAATATGATGGTAAAAACTTGAATACTTGATCATTGTGTTCTCTTCTGCTGCTCAAGTGTTAGGAAATAGATTTTCCTTTGAAAAGATCCAAAACAGCAGCATTCAGGTCCAGCTCAGAATACTTAACGTAGCCCAATTTGATGTTCCCATGCCGCCTTACAAATGACTTATACGCTGGGATCAGCTTCTGTGTTATAGACATTTGAAGGCTACTTCTGAGTTGTAAATCCGGTATTGACCAGACAGCCTGAGTCCTATGAACCTTCTCAAACAAGACAGTGAAGGCCTTTAAGTTTGAGATTGACATCTTGCCACCTTTTTTCAAATATAATCCCCCCCCTGTTAAACAATCAAACACCCTCCCCCAACCACCTTTTTTCAAATACAATCCCTCCTCCGTTAAACACTCCAACACCCTCCCCCAAGTTGATTTCTCGTAGCTAATAGCAGCCTGCTGGAATTTTCTCTCCAGCTTTTTCAAATAACCATCTCCAATTATGTCCCTCAATTTAGAATGCCCTCTCACCCTTTTAAAAATGTAATGGGCATTGTTCATCGTGAACAGATGAGACAAAGACTCGACCTTATATTGTTTGCACTTACCATCCAACTTAATTAGCAACGTCTCAATAATAGAAGTTAAGTAAATAGTCAAGCGGGTTTCCCCTTCTTCTTGGGCAAAATGCTTATCAGGGGTGAAAATAGACTCCATTGATGGCTTAGGCACTATAAGGTCATCCAAAGTTTGTTTGTAATCACAGATAAAACTTAAATTATCCATCACATAAATGGTCAAGGGGTGAATTATCCCATTTGCAGGGATAGGAATCTCAGACTCAGATGTGTCCCCAAGCACAGAATTTTCAAACTGGAAGAAAGTGTCCCTTGCAGCCTCAGACAAGCAAGACAGAACATCAGCAGCGAGAATACGTATGGGATAACATGATTTATGGTCAAAGATATTATCAAAATGAGGTATCAAATCAGCCAAAGCTTGATACAGGTCTAGAATCCTGAACAGCTTCTGAGGCGATGAGGTCGTGCTTGTGAAAATAGCGTCAGCAAATTTGAGAAGCTGAATGGCAGCTTCTTTGGCCGTCTCCATGAAGGAAGCATGAGCAATATCAGGACCAACGCCTTCAAAGATTTCCTCACAAAGCCTCTTCTCGCGGGCGAACAAGATGAGAACACTGACCCTAGCTGCTTCTCTCCAGATGTGGATCCTTGTGTCAGGCGGAAGCTGGTCTCGCTGAACATAACCGATGCCCAGCCTCTGAAGGGTGGCATCGATAATGGATTTCCTCACAGTGCCATAAACCTCTATGCACTGCCACAAGTACCCTGACGATATCATCCTTTCCGCAATGCAACGCAGGTCGTTTATAGCATCAACACTAAAAGTTATCACACCCATCTCCTCCAAGTTGACAAAAGAAAGAAGTTCATCAGCAGCATCATGTCGTTTTGCTGAAGGTGAACCGTTAAAGCGTCGATGACTGAAGCCAGCACAACAACCCTGTTGGGGTTCTTCTTCTTTTTCTTCTTCGGTGTTGAGATGGTGAAGGAAGGAAGTGGGGTTGGCGCGGGAGATTAGGATGTTACGGAATTCGTTTCGCAAGCGTGACATGGCGATGGCGATGGCGCTCTCGTCGTATGAGCGCTGGATTTCATCGACGGCTTGGAGGTAGCACTCCGCCTCTTGCCGGTCGCCGGCGAAGATCATCTTCTTTCGGGCTTCCTCGGAGTTCCATCTGTGAACGATGTCCAATGCTAAGTTATCCATCAATGGATTGGTAAACGAAGAAGCAGCGTCTGCAAGTAACCCCAGAAAGGACTTGACTTTGATTTACACGAGGTAACCGTCCAACAAAACTGGTCTGAAGAAATATAATTATAAAAAGGAAATATGCTATTTTAACACTCATTTTGGGTGTTTATCTTATAAACTCAAAATATTTGGGTATTAAAATATTTTTATTTATATATTTTAATATTTTCATTTTTATTTAAGTTTTTTAAAGGCTGACTTGCATAATTTTTTTTTTTCTCATAACATTCCAAAAAGACTTGTTGCATAATTTGATTTAATTTATTAAAAAAGTTTAATTTAATTTATTTTATTTTCTCTAAATATTGTTTTAGAAATTTATCCATATTTAAGTATCGAGTATTGATTTAATTTATATTTCAGTTTTAGAAGTGATTGCATCCTGTATGTGAACTTGCTTAAAATTAACATACATGTAGCATAAGTTCAAATATACATAACTGTGTATAGCACTGAGACCATGTTAGTGGTAACAAAATGGAAAACCAACATGCCGTGAAAAGCGATGACTCTGTTTGTCTCCTAGTTCGTCGTAACAAAGAAAAAGTGCTTAGAGAAAAAATAGTCATGCACTCTTTCCAGCAATTGTAAATGCAGTAGTCGTATTGAACGTTCGACTGTTAACGTGCTACTTATTCTAAATTCAAGATTTATCCAAAATCATATCCCTCTATAACATGGAGGTTTGACTCAAATTAAAGTACAACTAGTCTCAAATATGATAAAATTTTGTCATACTAAGGCGCCATGAAAATACATTCTGAACCGTATCTATTCGTAAAATAACAACTAAGGGGAGGGAGTTTGTGAGAAAATTGAGTATCCAGTGAGTGACATATATCTCAAACATCAGAAGCCTCGGGACAATTTTCTGCAATCTTGAGAACTGTGGATGTCTCACCCTTGTGTGCCGTGATAGCAGCTTTAAACTCCTCCACTATGGACCCGTCTTTGAACTTCAAAGCAAATGTTGAAAGACCATCCTTCCCTTCGGTGGCACTATTGATGCAAGCAAAAGTAACACCTTTCTTGTCCATATTTGTGAGCTTCATATCAGGGTATAGACGAGCATTTAAAATCAACCTGTAATTTCCCCTAGACCTCATAAGTAGTCGGGCTTTTTCTGTTCCACTAGTTACATTCACCTTCACTTCTCCCTTGCCTCGTTCCTTCCAACTCCCATCCACAAATTCAAACAATACTGAATCTGCATTAAAAACCACTTTCTCATTTTCTTCACCAGTTTCAATGACAACTTCTTGCAGAGTTGAGAAACCACTTCCATCACTCTTGGAAACAGCAGCCCCAAAACCAGAACTTCCATTGTTGGATAAGCCTAGACCAAGAGGCTTGTCATTTTTCATCCCAAAAATAGAACCAGACCCGCTGCCCAAAGCAGACCCATCATTTGACATAGACCCAAAGGAAAACAAGGAAGAAGAAAATCCAGTTCCAGCAAGACCTGTGAAGGCATTTTGACTTTGCGAGAGTTGTTGAAATGACTTCAAGGTACCGCCTTCGGCACTAGGCTCTTCACTTTCAACTTTGTCATCTTTCTTATCCTTGTTTTCACCATTGTTATTCTTATCATAGTTCTCAGTATTTTCATCCTTAATTTGTTCTTTATCAACCTCATTGGCAGTCTCCTTATCAGCAGCATCCTTCTTGTCATCATTTTCACTTTTATTGCCATCCTTCCTTTGTTCAACATCTACCTCAGATTTGTCACCATTATTCTCCTTATCTGCATTGATTCCTTCTGCAGCATCCTTATTTCCAGCACATTTATCCTCCACTTCATGGGTTTTGCTCTCTGTCTCTGACTGCTTACCTTCTTCATCTTTCGCTTTCTCAGACTCTTTGGTTATACTGTCACTACCTTTTGAATAATCTGCAACAGTATTCTCACCAGCTTCTTGGGTTTCAGCAGTAACTTCACCAGGATTAGCATTGGATTCAGTAGGAGCAACCAAGCGTATTCCAGCAAATGGATTTGAAGCAGGGGCAGAATTGGTGTGCTGGCGACGAACTTTGACTATTCTTCTGCTTGCCAGAACCTCATCACTGGCCCTCTTGAAAGTTCCAGCATCAAGCTCAGGGCTATCTTCCTCATCATCCAGAGGAGTATCTCGAGTGAGCTCCCTTCCAGCAGCTCTTTTCTTTGATGATGGAAGGGAATTCTCAGCATCTCCCATTGAAGAAAGACACCAAAATATCAAACTTCTATTTCCCAAGTTACGGTACAGGAAGAGCTGCAATCACGAAATATGAGTATCCCAAGCTATATGAATAACACCATACTTCTATGATTCAGGAATATACACACACATTCTGAAAAGCCTCAGAAGATGTTAAGCATTGGCTCAGAAAAAAAGACGTGCCATCAACCTCACAAAGCCAAGACCAGAAATCCTATTAATATGAAATTCACAGACTAACCATTTTAAACACCACCACCACACTGAGAAGCCAGTATAAAGGCTAGTAAACATCATCGCGACCTTCAAACCTTATATATAGTTTACAGCAATTCGGTCCTATCCCATCTACCCAAAATTAAACCCTTCATTTCAATTGCTCTCAATTAACAGAATTGTGTTGGACATATACTTAAACTCATTATACTGAAGTATAGTTATTTAAGCATTCTATACTTTCTATACTGACCGCATAAGCACATGTTTGTAATACAGGGATAGTGAAAACAAAAAGACTGCTAATAGTTATTCAGTTGAAACCAACATGATAAAAGGGAATTTCAAGTGCAGCATTCTAGGAGTGAAATCACGCATAAACTAACCCTGTTGAAGCAATGAATTCCATTCTTCGAGGAAAAAAAAACAGTATCAATATTGTGAGGCAAAAAATTGACGACACGTTATTCAGAACCTAGATGAGTTTGTATCAGACTCAGTGCTAAAGTTTCAAACTTTAAGAGAATAATAGTAAAAGGGATTTGAGAAAACAGAGAAATGATTATCGTACAGCTAGATAGAGAAGGTAGGAACAAATCGATCAAACAGTGGATACAAAAAATGAAACGATAATAGAGGCAAAGGGGACTTACAAGGAACCGAAAGAACAAAACCTAGCAATCGATTTCGCGAGTTGCCGAAACGATAGCACAAGAGAATTTGGAATAATCTGTTGACAGAAAAAGGGATAATTTGTAGCTCCGAGGAGGGTGAGAGTGTGAAGGTGCAAACCCTAACACGATGAACGAAGCGACACCAATTTGTTTGGTCACGACTCACACAGCCACCTCAAGCATCTGCATCAGCATCTCCTTTTTCTTTTTCTTTTTTCCCCCGAAAAATGTGTCCGGTAAATTCTTGCACTAATGTAATGTCTTCCCTACATATATAGAGAGATCGATTGTTTAGCCCTTTTCATTATGCATATCCTAAATTTTAATAACTAGTTGATAATATCAGTTTTCTTCTAATGAAATGTTATTTATTTTATTAACTTAAACTTCGAAAATATTTCATTTCGTATTTTTAACAGTTAATAAAATGATTTTTTAATCATAATTTTTTTTAATAAATTTGGTCTTCTGTCATAGCAAGTGTTAACGCTTTTTTTAAGTTAGATAAATCCATGTAATGCATGAGTCATCAATTTAACAATTTATTATTATAAATATTTTAAAAATATATTATAAATTTATAATATATAATTATTTTTTATTAATATAAATAAAGTAATTATTTATTTCTTATAAAAAATTAAAAGAAATACTTTAAGCCAAGTATCCGATCGAAAAAAAAATTAAACTCGACCTGATACTTGACTTTTCTTTATATATATATATATATATATATATATATATATATATATATAATTTTTCTTGTTTATATTTTTTATACTTGCGGATTCGTTAAGTAAAATATATCTTAGAATATAAATACATCTCAAGCTAATGACATGACTGGAACTGATATGAATTTTGATCGTGTTGATCTTATTCTAGTTAAATAAAATATAGGGCATCCAAATCAAAATAGTTTAATTAGAGTTAACACTTCTTCAATGATTAGAAATCACAATCCTTGGATTTGCATTCTCATACATTTCGCTTAAAAAGTACCATCCCATTTACTCTTGTCAACAGAAGCTAAAAATTGGGGAGGAATCTATCGTGAAGCAGCGTGAGGACTTCCAAATCAATCTCAACTTCACTCTTCCTGTTCCTGGGTTGGTTGTCGTCCAGAATCCCTCCATGCGAGATTGGACAGTTTCTTATTAACGATATAATGGGATTTACAATTTCAAATCAATTGCAAACAAAATATAATCCAGAATTCAACCGTGATCTTAACCTCATCTTACACAACAAAGTTTACGTGAAAAATTTGGCATTAATTATACCACATGATTGCTCAAGCAACAAAAAAATGTTACAAAATTCCAAGCCAAATTGCCGTACAAAATTATGCAAAAATAAAAGGTAAGTTCTGAGGTTTGGTAACTGATTCACTACTGAAAATGGACTTAATTTTATAATTACCTCTCTATTTCCAAAATATACAGCCTATTTGTAGTAAATTATATGATACACTAAAAAAACAAGAATTGCTAGGACTCAGGTGGCAGCAGTAGTAGTAATTGAAAAAATAACTGGTTGTCAAAATGGGAGTTAGATTGGCACTGCAGAAACAGTCACCAGAGACAAAATTTCAATTTTCACATGCCTTGAACCAAACGTTTTTAGGCTGACGGGGCTCCTCCGTTATTCGTATCCTACTCTTCATCAGCTTCATTACCATTGACTAGGACTGTGCCGTCAGTAGAATCGGCATCTACTACAATTGGCTCCTCCTGGCTTCCTTCCTCTCCATTTTGTTCCTCAGGTTCCTCTCTATAGTCCTCTTCTCCATTTTGTTCAGTCAACTGCAACAGGACATAAAAAACATCATAATGTAACTCTTAACACCACCACTAACAATCAATTGGGTTATAGATATTTCTTTCCGTAGAAGTGGAAAAATACAATATTACTTTAGAAGAATATTTCGGTAACTTGTGTATGGTGTTAGCCATATATTTAGTATACCTCATGATTAGAATCTCCATTCTCAAGTGGCACCTCCCCTTCATCTATCTGCATATTTCTGAAAGCTTCAACAAGAGTTACATGTGATTTATCAGCATGGTTGACGTAATCCTCTGCAGGAGGGTAAACACCCCTAAAAAAAATTAACAAAATATGTTAGAAAAACATTTGTTGAAGATGTTTAGTACACAAATCACTAGCTTATAAATTAAGTTGCAAGATATATGTAAGAAAGTATGCATTTCCCCACTGACCTTGTTTCTGCAGCTTTAGATTCAACTGCTAGTGCAACTTGCCAATCTTCAAACAAATTAGGATACTCCTCAGGATCAGCCAATGATTCAGCAGCTTTTGGATTAACCTGCACGTATTAACAAATAAATCTTAAGAATTTATATTTCTAATCCATGTGCCATCTGTCAACATGACAAGAATCCCAGGAGGGGGCAACGTTGTGAGAACAGAAGCTCCTGCCCACAATATCGTGTGCTCAACATAAGTGGCTGACTGTTCTATTATAATTAAATAAAATATAGTGGAATACAAAATTACCTTACTGAGATCCTTTCTCCAAATGGCCACTATCTCTGACACCTTGCTGGGGAGATAAGATCGAGCCATTAAAGCAGCCTCAGGAATCCGATTGCTGCAAAATAGTAAAGATCAAGCCTCTCTCTCTTCTGCCAGTAATGTCATAAATAAAAGAGCACAATTGTAGAGGATTACCTTTCTACCAACAGTTGAAGGCAGTCTTCAAGTTTACCCAACATGAATAAACAAAGGAATGCAACATTGTTCTTCCCTTGCTCTTTTGCAAGAGTTGCAAGTTTTGATATTCCTTCAGCATTTCCTAAAGAAGAATATAACAGCAACAACCCACTCAAATCCATTGCATGTTTTAAACACTCCTCAGCCATTTCTAACTGCAAGAAGGGATAATACAGTGAGCTGCACTGGAACAAGAGCAATTACTCAAAAGAATCAACACCAAGTGCATCCAGAATCACAATTTATTGCAACAAGAATAAAATAAATATTTAACATCAAGTGCTTGTCCTTATTCTCCTTAGTACACATGAGCCTTAAAAAATACAGGCATCATTCTTTTCTGTGCATCTTTCCATTCATCAACAACCAATATAACTTCTATGATCCACAAAGATTTTGATAAGTTGAAGCAACCTTTCGATATGAGACCTCTCTTTTTGTAAAAGAAAACCAGAAATGGTAACACTATCATCAGAAATAGCTTGGGTTTCACTAGAAATGAACAAGACACTCAAAACGCCTCTCCTCATGTTAGAAACAAATTGGGTTTCGCTAGAGATGAAGAAGAAAACTGAAACTTAGCCAAATATAATGACTTGCACCAGAAAGTGATGCCAGAAATGGAGGATGAAGCAAGAGACCAAAAGAATAGAGAGAACAAGGTGGGTTCCATCTTGACTTGCAAAGATAGAGCACATCATGATATAAAAGGGGGGCAATATATCAAGATTGCCCCCCTTAAAAAGCATTCCAGCTTCTAGAAAGGGAGGGCAAACTTGCCCTTTTGCCCCTATTTGGCATTGCAACCATGATTTTCCCCTTTCATAGTAGTGAATTGCAATGCAACAGCTGCTACACTGAACCACAACACAATGGCCCCAAAATCATGGCAGGGTGCCACTCCACTCCTCCACAATCGCACCCGCTATTACCACTATTGACTACTATGGGCAGAGTATCAATCAGGAAACTCAATTTACATAGACGTGTACATGTATATTTAGAAATGTAATTAAGACAAATGTTAAAGAAATCACAAATAATGAAGATTCATTTGATAGAGAAAAGCACCTTTCCAGCAGACATAGCTAATTCTCCCAACTGCTTCCATTTAGACTCACTTTGCACTTCAGTGGCAATACCCTGCAAAAGAAGAATGAACATTACACCCAATATAAACTTAAGTTATCAAATTTTACAAGTCATATGAAATCAAACTTGTTCACATGAGAAATGAAAAAATATAGAAACTTAAGTTATCAAATTTTACAAGTCATATGAAATCTCCTTGAAGGAACATATGAACTTACCTTAGCAACCTCTAATCTCCCAAGCTGTATGGCCAGATCAAACCTGTAGTCAGGGTCGGTAGCTACTTCCAGGGCATCCTCTATCATCCCTCGTGATTCCAGGAAACGAGCCACACTACCATTAAAACAAGTAGAGAATTGCAGTTATGATGCATACGACATTAGAGCATCAAACATTCAAACAGAAAGTAAACACCGTACACAAATAGAAAAATATTCTCAGTGAAGGATACAAGCAAAAGAACATGTACTACATATTCATACAAGATTATACACTAATTTTATAGAAGCATGCCAAGCAATGATATATAATGACCAAGCCAGATGACTAGTGCAAGTTCAGAATAAAATATCAAAGTGGGCAAGTAAATTTTCATTAATAAACAAACAAAAAACTTGTGAGACCATATGAGTGTCAAAAGATCCTCCGATAAACAACAAAAGATCCACTTCCATTTATCAGCTGGTTGACATTTTACTCCTGAAATCAGATCAGAACTTTCCTAGAAAAAAAGGGCATGTGATGCATGACAATTATTTACATTAGCAATTTTTGTTATTTTGGTAAGTAGATTTCCATAATCTTATAACACAACCGTCACAAAAAAGCCTTTCTCAAAAGATATCAAACATAATTTCTAAATAATGAAAGGTCATTTTGAAATGAATTAACTAAAAGAAACTGCTACCTGTTATGATGCTCTTTAGGAATTGATGGTAGAATTTCATTGGCCCTTTCCAAATCACCACGCATCACAAGAGTCTTGTACTCAATCAAGCTTAAAAGTAGTGTGTATCCTATAACACTGAGAAAAAAAATCAAGAAAGATAATCAAGATTACTGCATTGAGAGATTTTGATAAAATCAAAAAATTGATCTACTTACTTGAACTCTTTGTCTATCAAATAGACCCTACTTTGGCTGGCAAGATATCCGAGCAAGTACATTGGACGGTCCAAATGAAACATTGTAGTTACCTGTATTCATAATGTAATTGTAATGCATCAACTGGCTCCATATGATCCTTGTAGTTCAATAAATGTAGACAATACATGAATTCATTAAGACAGAGCATATGATAACAGAGTTCAATAAATAAATATTCATTTCGTTTGAACCTAAAAGGAAGAGTAAATACCTCACCACCAACACAATAATTAAGCCTCCAAGAAGAGTTGTTGTAGATAAAGCAATCCCCA